GTCGATAAATGTCTTCGTTTTCGATTGGTTAGTTAGAAAATAAGAAACGATTTCATTGCTCAATTCATAGTGTCTGCGGAGTAAAGTCAAACTTGTCTGTGACTTAAAATCACTGAGACGTATCGTAATTATGCAAGTCCTATTTCGTGCTGCTGTGATTGTCCTAGTTCCGGTTCACTGATTTTTGGGGGGCAAATCGTGCATATTAATGAGGGCAAAGGCAAACTAGCTCTTTTTAGCACGAAAGACAATGTTTTACTTACCCAACACCCTCCTACTCCTCTGCAATTGATTTATTTTCCCTTTTTGATTTTACTTTTTATTTTTAATTTCCCTCCTCAGTTTTCTTCTCTCCTTCACAATTTTATTATTTTCCCTCCTCATTCTTGAATTCCCTCCTTCTCCACAATTTTATCATTTTCCCTCCTCCTCCTCCTCCTCCACATTTCTATTGTTTTCCCTCACAATCACAGCAGCAGGAAATAGCACTGGCTTGCATAATTACGTTACGTCTCAGTGATTTTAAGTCACAGACAAGTTTGACTTTACTCCTCAGACACAATGAATTAAACTAACCAATCAAAAACGAAGACATTTATCGACCTTAAAGTAACTGGAAAACCTAAACCAACTAAAACTAGCACACGACCTTATCTTAATGAGATTCCTGTGTATTTTATTCATGAGATAGAGACAAAAGGCTATGACGCCATCGGCGTTAATTTATTCCACTTCAAACTAATGAGATTCCACTTCAAAAAACAGGAGTAGCCGGTGCGCCCTATACTGCTTACATGTACAACTGATGTCGACGAGGTGTTTGAATTTCACAGAAGACACTCTTTGCGTGTTTGATAGAACTTGTCGAATGATCAGTAATTCTTAAAATAATTTAAATCAGATAATTTTTGGTCATTTAAATCGCATTTCTAAACCTCATACTCTATAAACACTAACCAAAACGATAACTGGCGCCTGCTACACAGACCAATAATCAAATCATTTGCTAAAAAGCCCACAAAGAAAAACTGCTACGGTATACTATTTTTAAAAATTTCAAGTAAATTGCTGCGAGCGATCAACAGTCGAGAAAATGGTGAGCTCCTACCCTTTGCAAAGTCTCTAACTCAGAGACTTTGGATGTCATGTGACCTTGAAGTAACCAATGAAATATTAATAATTCACTAGTGAAAAAGGATTTTAACTTCCATAACAGTGGTTGTTGCCTTAACTCTTTAGCTGTCTCTTAACTCTACATTTACCAAGAAAAGGCGAGAAATGAATGTTAAAAAGAGTTTCATGAGGTTTACAAATCACCTCGTTGGCTTTGTCCGCTTTATTTTAGACATTCCAAAGAACATGAAGAATGTTCGGAAAATTCAGCTACGTCGCGCGTTTTTAACCAGCTTCGCAGTGTTATGCACCTATCAATGTAATGCCGGCGGGGGGGAGGCAGGGCATAGGGTGGGGATTTGACTTTTTTCAAAAATTTGTAATCAAATTCCCTGCCCACGGGCAATCATTCCAGTCAAATCCAACCAAATTTCCCCACCCCATGCTGCACTTTGCTGTCAATCCCAAGGCAGAACCTAAGAAAGGCACAATAAAAATATCTCCAAATAAGACTCTGCAATCTTTTATAAACGTTGCTGCATCACTAAAGATATATGTTCCTGTTACAGCTGCAATTATACGTTTTGACCGTAATCCGTGTTACACTGCGTAGAATACATAAACCTTTAAGAGAAAGTCCACATTTTGTAAGTCTAAATATACCGTTCTTAGTAAAGGGTAAAAAGAAAGTCAGTTTTATAAGTTTACAGTGATTGTAGCGAATGAGCCATACACTAATCAATTGTGCTTGCAAAAATCGACTTGGTTTCTCTTCCGTTTACTTTGATACCACAGTATATTTAGTTAAGAGGTTCAATTCATCAAAAACACGCTAAAAACAAACCAAAAAAAACAAACGAAATTTGAAGACAAAACAGTGAAATCCACTCAGCCTTCGCTTGTTCTCATTGGCCTCCATGACTTCCTGATCTTTTCAAACAGTATGGCGCATGGGTGAAGCGTGGAAGCGGGAAACATATGTTCGGTATCAGTCTTTTTCGTCCGAGTCCGCAGTCAAATATCACCATGTCGGGCGGAGAAAGACTCAAATCTCAAATATCCCCTCCCCCGGGAGAACAAGATCAATCAAATGCCCTACCCCAGGGACAACAAAGACAATCAAATCCCCACCCCATGCCCTGCCTCCCCCCCCGCCGGCATTACATTGATAGGTGCATTACGATATCATGATAAAACACTTTCATATGTTAAACAACTTCTAAATCGAAATGCAAGTTTGAAGTTAAACTCTTAACTAAGTCAGTTAGTTATAAACTATGCGTTTACTCATGAACGCTCTACTTACAAGAAAAGTAAATGTTGTAGCTGAAGAATTTCATTCTCTGCAACAGTTGTGATGTTGTTTCTTTCCAAATGGCTGCGAAGTTGTGTTAAAAGTAACGTTAAATGTCAGTGCATTTCACGGTGAGAACATTACGTATATAAGAGCTGAGTCAAAATGAAAGAACACAAACATTCGCCCACCTCTACAGAAAAAAAAAACAAGTACTCATTACATCATCAACTGGTCAGTTGCACAGATCGATTTTACTCACATAGATTTAACGTTTTTGTAGCCATTTCCAAACTGAAATCTTGAGATATTATTTCCAGAGAGGTCTCTGTTGAGAAAAATATAGACTTGTTACTCATCTTTGTTCTTCGTAAAAAGCTGCACGGGAATCTCGAAACTTTTACTCAGTTTGTCTTAACTTGCTTTCCGTTGAAGCATGCTAGAATAACTTACACTATTTCCACATCCCAGCGCTCGTCAAGTCCCGGTCTTTCGTAAAGTTGAGCATTTCTACACTGTAGCAGCTTCTTATTTTGATACAGTTTACATCCCGGAGGAAAAGCACCAGAAGTTTCTGAGATGAGTGTCGGCAATGGATTATATTTTCCATAGGACAACGAGGAAGCCTCTGTAAGGGGCAGTTTCCCTGGAGAGTTAAGGAGGAACAAAGTTAATATTGGTGTTAAAAACGGCTGGTTCATCCTTAAATTTGTGGCGTCTTTTGAACACGCATGCTGACGTCATAATTGCACCGTTCATGCACGCGCACGCTGTCACTATACGCGTGCGCGCGTGCATTACAACCTTCGACGTTCGTCTCTGCCTTTTTTATTGCTTTCAAATAAAACAAGTGTGGAAGGGAATACATCATTGAAATGTTCAGCTCACGACTGCACTGAATCTCTTTACTTATCAGCCTCTGATGCAACATATAACTAGTACTTTATTATTTTTTTAAGAGGCCTTGCCTTCCTCTTCAAAAACAAAACTCGCATTTCGCATTAAAATTATGCCTATTGTAGTGCAACTTCCATGTCCTGTCCGATGTAGGCAATCAAAATCAGGAAAAAAAATCCTCTCCTCTGAACTTCTTTGAATCTTCGACCAGCAACACGTGCAGCGTGGAACGGCGTGCAGTGTGGTGGAATACGTAAAGCAAATCATTGATTGTGACGTCAAAAATGAACGACAGATATTGCGCACGCCCCGAATCTGACATCCAAAGAATCGAGAATTTTCTTCGCTTGGATGTGAAGTAACACCGCTGATGCAATTATGTTTGTTACATGATGTCATACCACACAATTAGAAGGCGTTAACTTCTATTACGTCAAAGGTCAACTAACTCGAAGACTTGATGTATGATCGAAATTGATTGAGAATGATTGACTGAAAAAATATGAGCAAGCGCCGGCTGGAAATCAGCTCACTATTGGTCATTTTATTTATCACTTGTTGTATTGGAGCAAATGTTCCCTCCCCCGGATGCAAGGTCAAGAACTCTGGAAAAGTGTTGCAGTGCAGGGGGGTCGGACTAAACAGGATACCTGAGACGATACCTGACGGAATTGTGGTCGTGTGAGTGAATATAGATTTTAGCCCATGATGTGCTTTTCGCTACTTTTAGGGTCTCTTTTTAGAAGGAAAAACTTTCGAATGCACGAGCAAAATGACGAGTTTATGCGACAACGTGACAAATGTAGAATGTAGAAGGAGAAAAAACAAGACTGTGAATCTATTTTAGTTATTTTCTGTATTATTCTCGCTTGAATCTACAGAAAATTGCCTTACAAATCAAAAAACTTACGAAGCAATGTCGTGATTGGTTTCATGGTTCTTTACTAAAAGATGCCTTGAGAAATGACCAGTTTTTGCACTTAAGGAGATTCGTTCTTTGTTGTCAAACATAAGCTTACGACGTTATTGTTATTTTTTTTTTCATCGTTTTAAACTAGGACAAGAGCGGCGAAGCTGCAAGGAGCTTTCGCTCGCGCCGCGCACTTACTCGATTTTCTCTTTAAAGAGACGGTCCGGCCCAAAAGTAACGAAAGCCCAGCCTAGTCCCTCTACTACGCGTTCTCTCTTGACCCGTTGTCCGCGCGAAGTCTGGGAAAGAGCGGGCGAGTCTCTCTCGGTGATGTCACAGCTCAAGGTAGAGCCCAGCTTTTTAGGCCTAGATCAGCAGTTTTATGGAAAAAAGTAAAATTGGTTGGAATCTATTGCAAAAAATTCTCTATGTTGTCTTTAATCTTTACTAAAGAATAGCCAAACTGATTCTTCTGGGCACTAATTCATCAAACATTTCCTGTTTTTAGTGATTTGAGAGAAAATAATATCAAACATATAAGACACGAAGACGCTAAAACCCTTTTCCAGTTCCGGAAAGTGTAAGTATAACAATTTACAGTATTTACAAATTCACTCTCCTGTTAAACAGAAAGCTGCGTTCCAGAAATAATTAGCAATTATTGGACGAGGTTGAGCAAGATATCGTGATTTGTCAGTGGCGAGCGCTTTGGCAAATAATTGATCTGCGAGACACTGGCAAATCACGCTATTTTGCGATAACCGAGTTCAATAATTGTTTTATCATTGGATCTTGACCAAGTTTGTTTTTTAATGAATATTTTCGGGAAGCGAAGCGATCTGCCATTTTTCACCCAAGCGTAACCGCAAGAAGGAGAAAAGCGTGGTATCGTTTAGCATGAGCAGAATATTATTTGCAGCCAAACACAATCCCGACCCCAGTGCTTACGGCCAGGCCAGTACGGCTATATTATATTAGCCACAAGAGCCAGGTGCTGAGGTACTCCTCTGCTCATGTCGTTTATGTACAAAGGGGACCCTTGATCTGCTTGGCTGTATGATTCTTCCATTATTTAATTGAGTTTAATTTTTTTTTCTTCAGTTACCTGTCTGGGAATCCAATACACTGCGACTGCAGTCTTGAATGGCTGCGATTGCTACTTGTGAAGAACGTGTTACATGCTGTACAGGATGGAGAACATATCAAGTGTGCTTCACCGCTGCGTGTCGGGGACAAGGCTTTGATTTCTTTGTCTCACAATCAACTTTGTGGTAAGTCAAAGGGATTCCCTTCTTACAAAGTATAACTTACAAATTTTCAGTCTAATTACATTTGGGCAAGTTTTTATGGTCAAACGTAAAGTTCGAATTCACCACAAATGCGCTTACATGGAGGATAAAAACTAAATAAATAAGTGAAAAGCAGGGGTCAGTTAGAAATAATAAAACAGCATAATTAACTTCTGGTACAGTGCACACTATTTTCAGAGAGTATGTCATTAAAATATTAATACATAGAACAAAGTATGGTAAGAAGAAATACCAACGTTTCAGTCTGTTGCTTCCGCACCTTTCGATGGGAAATTGGCCACGTAGTGTCCGGGGTCGCAGCTAGCGAGGCGTGGTGAAGAGTCACTTGGAAGGTAAAAAGGAGAGAGGGGAATGTGACTTCGGATGAAGCATAAGGTAATCGGGAGGAATAAAGGAATATGTTGCAGCATATATTGACTCTATATACTGTTCCTGGTAAGAGTCTTATTGATCAAAAATGTTCAAGAAACGTGATTTCTAAGTTTCGGGTGATCCAGTAGAATCGAAGCTCCCCTTCTGAGTAAACTTGGAGCAATTTTTATTGCTTTAATTTCCATGCTTCAGTCAATTTGTGAAATGATGTCTAAAGAAAGCTCCAAGTCTGTCTGCCTTATATTAACCCCTATCTTCTTCATAAAATTACCAAAACGCTCTGTATAAATACTGGGACATTCTGTTCTGAGCTAGACCTTTAACTGAGAAGGTTTTAATTCTTCACGATTCATGTTTCATTAGGTTCTGATGAAAATCGCCAGAAACATTCTTTCCAGAAAAGAAGTCCAGGTAAGTATGTATGCATGTTTTTCATCCCTGATCAGCCTGCGTCGAAAGCGTCGAAATGGGAGGGGAAAGAAGAACCCTCGTACCCTGCGTCTTCGTTCCCTTTGACCAGCGGTCGGCAAACGAGCTCTTCTCGTCAAGCCAGCATGCGCAGTTAGGGAGGAAGACTCGAGGTAGGAGATCGGGAAAGCGAGAGAAAAAGGGAGAAGGGATTGGGGAGAGACGTAAGGGGACTACCTCTTCTTCCTCTCCCTTTTCCCTTTTGGCGCCGTTTTCTACCCCTCCCCTCCCCTTTTTTCGCGCCTGTCATCTAGGCTATTTGTAAGAATGTGCCAACCGAAAATTAGGGGAAACAAGTTATGACGAACTAAGGGATTCTGCTGCGATTCTGCTACGATTCTACCAACTACCAAATGTAAGCTCCTCATAAGCATTTTTTTTAGGGTAATTGCCTTGAAAAGGATGTACTAACCAGAATTTTGTCAAGCTTGTCGCAATCAACAGCCATATATAGGAGATTGAAAAAAATGCAATACAATGTAAAAATATGATGTCACTGTGCTTGTTTTCGCCCTGGGTGTCCGTTTATTTTAAGTGTTTTTCCTAGTTGCGTACAATATGATTGAAACTTGAAACACCGCCAAAAATCAGTTCACATCATTTGCAAAAATCATAAATCTAACTAAAAGCTAGTGCCCGGTTGTCAGGGTTGTGTTTTTTTGGGCTATAATTTTACAGAAAAGTGAGTTCAAATTACCCGATCTTGCGGAAAAAAGGAAAAAACTTGAAAAAATGGTCAGTTTTAACATTTCCTCGAGCTCATACTCCTCTGTGGCTCCAAATGCGGAATTTCGTGCCATTCACACAAAACTACAGATAACCACGGTAACTCAAACTGCTAAACTGTGAAGGGAAACGAAAAACGATTCGAGTTACTTAGTGAGGGTTTGAGGAAATCACCTTAAAGATACAGCCCCGGTTGTTCCAACGGATAAGTATTAGGGAATAAACAGCCTTTAAAAAACGTAGTATCGATGTTAATTACGGACAAGGACGTCACATCATACCAATTATTGCTGTTAATACAACAAGATCGTGTGCTTGTAAATTAAAGTACCTGCTTCTTTGACTAGTGAATCTGTTTTTTTTTTTCACTTTTCGAAAAAATGGGTCGGTCGGGCGATGGGAAACGACATCTTTTATTGGGATGGCCTTATAAACCACTGGTTCTGGAAATTTTAGGTTTATCGCGAGAATTAAACTTCGGATTTTCAAACTGCTGCAGCAATGAGGGAAATATGACAAACATTTGAAACGAGGCAGTCAACAGCACCAAGTCTTTTACGGCCAAATTCGTTGGATCGCCAGCGCGTTTTGCAATTCGAAAAAAAAGGGTTTTTCTGTTCCGTCAATCATTTAGAAGACTTCTTAGGAAACACATGTTTACTTTACGAGTTCAAAAGGTCATGATTTGTGATTTTCGATCCGTTTGGTTTGCTTCTGTGCTTTAAGGTTCGTTGTGATAGTCCTGTTTCGGGATATAATCGACTACTTCGCTTCGAAGATTTTTCTGATCTTTCTTGATCTTGTCACTTGCAAGAATAAAGAAATGTCTGCCTCCTTTCCTCGACAAAAATTCCACTGACCATCGCGACTTCCTCCGCCATTCTTTTTATCAGTTATGTCTTGCGGGCCAAGCTGGGCCAGCGCGCTGCACTGTGATTTGCATTAACCCAGAAAAATGACTGACGGAAGGGAAAAACCCAGCATCCCTTAATTCGAAGTTTACAAAACGCCCAGCGCGATACAAGGAATTTAGCAGTGATGCTACGTTTTGTTAAAATTTGACTTCTTTGCCATCATTTCTTCAGGAATAGACTTATGCGGAGGAGCGATCTGCCCAACGGAAATTAACTGCAAGAAAAGTTCTAAATGCAAATGCCCAACTGGATTTTATTCATCCGAGAGGACTCTACAACGGAGGATATGCATAAACATTAATGAGTGTAAAATGGACAAAACAAAGTGCGATCCTAAGAAGAATAAAGGAATTAACCCAAAAACTCCGTGTAAAGACACACTGGGTTCGTATGAATGTGTTTGCAAACCGGGATATGAGCTAACACCTGACAAGAAAGACTGCAGAGGTAATTCATCACTACAGAAACTAGAGCCCTCTCAACACCATTTAAATCGTTGAGGTTTTTGGGATTCTCAGGCAGTTTGGTAGCCAATGTGATTTTTGATTAGTTTGATTGGTTGATGCCTTGGAAACCATCAACGAATCATACTTTTCAAGTAATGCTGACGGAAACAAATTTTCATTGTCTATACTCGTATCAACCTTAGAAATAACGTTAAAATGTTCAAAACTCGTGTAGAAGCACGAAACAAAGGCGCCACGTCACTAATAGGACAATTGCACGACGACGTCATTTTACTACAACTACCAGAATCCTTCAGTTTGCTGTTTTCTTTTGCAAATTAAGGCTCTTGTTCTGTAAACCTCAGTGGAATTGACAAATTTGAATAACAAAGACGAAATGAATTCTGGTAGTTGTAGTCAAACATCGTCATCGTGAAAATTGCCTATTTTCATGATTTGTTCTTGACCTAAGCTCTCGACCAAAAATGACATTCCTATTGTTTCATAAGCAACTTTATGTAAGCAGTTTAAACTCTTCAACCACTCAAGAGTAATAACACCTCAAAACATCTATTTTCTCCGATTAATATTAATCAAGACAAACGGTTACGAAAGTCACCGGTAACAAAATTATCAGCGAAGGGAAAATGTCTTGAAATTTTGACAGTTGTTTTCAACTTATTCCTGCTTATTCCTTAAGAAAACGTATGGAGATCATTCCATTATAGTGAATTTTGGGGATATTGCATCCTGGGTAGCAGAGGTTTTTTCTCGCGTTTGACGGGGAGCCTCGTTGACCACAGGCCGAGGACAAGAGCGGCGAAGCTGCAAGGAGCTTTCGCGCGGGTCACTTTTTAAGACTTAAAGGCCGAAACAGGAAATTGCCCATGAAAAGCCTCTGGCAACCAGTGTAGGGAAGGGATTTTGGGGCTTAAAGCGCTAAACTTACAACAACAAAGCCGCTGTAGAAGCTGTTACTCATTCGGCGGAATTCAATAAAATTCGTAGCTTTGGAGTCGTCATCATATTGTTAAGAGGATGACACTTGTACTATTCAACATCTTTGCGTTTCGTAGAAGCGGACGAATGCAAAGATCCAGTAAAGAGCAGAGACTGTACTCTAAGTGGACAAAAATGTGTGAATACAGTTGGAGGCTATGAGTGCAAATGTGATCCAGGTTTTAAGCATGATGCGATCCGCAAGAAATGCTTAGGTAAGACGTAGTTATCGCAAAATTCTCCCGTTCCGATTAACCCTACCGCACTTACAGAGACTACAGTGCAGGTATAATAAACAACTAATTAAATAACTAAATAAGTAGCTAAATAAATATAGCAATCAAAAATGGATTTCATGGTAGCTCATCCTCACAGTTTTCGTCGTCTACCACCCCAGTGGAAGTGTTGGTTGTTAAGGAGAGGGGTAAACCGGAATACCAGGAGAAAAACCTCTCGTAGCAAGGGAGAGAACCAAATGACAACAAACTCAACTCACATATGGCGTCGACACCGGGACTTGAACCCGCGCCACATTGGTGGGAGGCGGGCGCACTCGCCACTGCGCCACCCTTGCTCCTTCAATTTGAACTGTAAATAGACTGCGAGATCTCTCATTTGCTCGTCGAAAATCTGTGAGCGATTGCGATCAGTGATTTTGAGCAAAAGAGAGACTACCCGCATGCTAAACTGTACAGAGCACTGAGATAAACTGTGGATTAAAGCAATCGATCAAGAATGTTGTAGGTGCCTGTTTTTTGGAACCCAGCTTAGTACACAAAAAAAGTTAAGACACGCGTTTTTGCTGAGTGCGATTTTTAAAAGTAAAAACTGGCCGACTAGTTGAAAATGAATAGGGTTTTCTTAATAGTTTTCAACATGTCATTTATAATTTGAATTCACTGATCTGACTAAGCAGATCTGGTAAACAGTGAAATTCTCTCCACGAATGGACTGATCATGGCCAGCCAGTAATAATGCTGAGCTCCCTAAAATGCACTTGCTCACTACAAAAGCCACAAGAACAACCGCAACCATTTTTCGTCCAGACTGAAAAACTCATACGAAGTAAACTTCTTACAACGAGAATTTGTTAAATTTTCAGGGGTAAACTTTCTTCAAGTGCACTGCCAGGAAGCTCAATATGTATTTTTTCGCTTTTTAGCCTTATCTTTACTAACCAACATTCTTTCTGTTCATAATATAACCTGACATAACATACCAATGGTTCAGTATGGAAAGGTCTTCAAGAATCGTTTGAATGTACATGTTTCATCTGTCGTTGTTTGAATACACATCTGATTCTTGTTTCAGATGTTAACGAGTGCAAAATCAGGAAACATAACTGCTCTCATCACAGTTACTGTCAGAACACCCATGGAGGGTTCAAATGTGTATGTCCAAAAAACTATGAGCTCAGCGGAACAAGCTGTATCCCAAATGACATCACTCGCTGGACTACTCCCAAGTACTTGTTACAGGATATAATGGACGGCGTATGGACTCGCTTAGTTGCTGCCGGCGCCGCAGGGATCATAGTCCTGTCCTTGTTTGTTATTGTTGTCTTGAGCTGTAGAAAAATGTGCAGGAAATGTGCCGAGAGAAAGGAGCTAAAACGGCTTGCATACGAAGGTATGTGAATGGTGGTCAACGCCGAGCCTCTCTACGGGTATTTCCGACGAACTTCGTCGATGGAAATCGCGACGATCGCTATCGACGAAACGACGATCTTGAGATTAAAGCGACGATCGCATTGCCGTTCTGATCAAGCTTAACAATTTAAGTCGTCCGATGAAAACAAAGCTAAAAGAATGTGCCGAAAAGTATGCTGCGCGTTCACAATTGTTTTGCTCTTTAATGTCGCAATTGCTCCTTTTTTATTTTCTCGTTTCCGTTTTGGTAGCTCGTTACCCTGTAATTCTCGCTGTGCGACGATTTCGGTGAAAATCCGACGATTTGATGGAAAACGCGCGACGAAAACGACGTCCGTAGGTAGCCAATGAGAGGCTCAACACCTATTACTAACCGTTTGTTAGACTCAGTCTTAACTATGGAAGGGCGTTTGCTCTAAAAGGTTCTAAAAGTCAGTCTGTAAAACTGCTTATGCTGTCAACTTGGTTGAGACAATCCAATCTTCAAATTCCACTTGTGCCAACAGAGGACTGTAATTGTGGAGAACTTGCCTCGTTGCGAATTAGTGGTAATTAACAGCTGAAATATAGTATACAGTAAAAACCCGCGACTAAGAACCGCATTTTCCCAAGTTGGCCTCAACAGGTTTTGACATCAATGGCATTTAGCACAAAATTAGGATATTTAGGTTTTTAAATAGGTTAGTATTTTCGGAAGATAAAATATATTGTGGCTAAGAAGTTGAGTGGTATTCAGCTTATTGCTTACATAAAACTCGCACATTGCAGTTGGAGTTATAAGACACCCATGTCTCCAAGAGGATCCTGAATGTTGACTTACCGAATTTGCCCAAGAGTACAGAATTTTTTAAATATGGATTTTAGAAAATAAGAACGTGTTTCAAATTTTAGGCTAAACAGGTTCTTGTTCAGAGGGGGCCTAAAGGCACAAATATTTTAGTCTAACAGGTTCTTAAAAATCAAGTTCTTACTCGCGGATCTTTACTGTGTTTAAAGGTATCAGTAGCGCTAACTTAAATGGTCACTTGCGCACATTAAATCTTTACTCAGTTTTCATTTGGACAGTGACGAAGTCAGATCTTTCTCTTTGCAGAACAACTGATGTTTGCCGCTGGAATGTACGATCCTGATGCAATGTTCTTTGCTGAGGGAGAAATGGGTTACCCAGCTGACGAGATGTTTTACCCTGAGGAAATGGGTTATCTCCCAGAGGGAATGGAATATGTCCCTGACGGAATGGGATTTCCTCCCGAGGGAATGGGATTTCTCCCCGACGGAATGGGATATCCCATGGATAATATGGGTTACACTGAGGACATGGTCTATGCTGATGAGATGGGCTACAACAATGAGATGGGATACCCTGAGGAAATCTACGCGACCACCCCGACAGGCCCCATGGCGACAGGGGAAAATTTTGACCATGAGGTGCCACATACTTATTACGAAGACGACGATGAAAATTCAGAAGGGGAGGGTCAGGTTGCCCCCTGACCTGATCTGCGCTGACGGAACTTATTCCTGAAACTGTAAAAGTTTGCTCTACGAATATCTTTTGTCTCATGACTACAGGTTTTTGCTTTTCCTTTTCAGTCATTATGAAACCAAAACCCAGACTGTGTCCCTAAATCTACAAAATGAAGATTTCATTTGATTCTTTATAACTTACTTTTCTGAAAAATGATTGAGTTGCTCAAAGAACTTCCTTCGCCTGATGACTTAACACTAAAAAAAACTAATATGGTACAACAGTTCGTAATAGTTTTTCCTTTTGCTTTCTAAGGCGTTAATTAGAGACAAAAAAAACAACAAACTACGAAATAAAGTTGACGTCATGTGAGGTGGACCTCTTTTTTTAAGGTCTCTTAAAGAAGGGAGAAATTCCCCTTGACACACATAAGGGGAAGAAGTTACCACTGAGTCTTACTTGAACGAAGGGGAATTGACCGGCTTCCTATTTAACACTGAAACAGTGCAATAATTTAAAAGCTGACAAAATTAAGAAAGATGGTAGATTTTAAGCTCGGTGAAGACATGAGAAATGATATAATCAGCATGTTACGAGTATGGGACAAAGAAAGAACCTGAGTCCCCGACAGGAATTAAACTTATGACCTTCCGTAAACCGGCAGCTATAAACAAGTTTTGATTCAGCTTTAAAGGATAATTTAGACAGAAAAAGGTTATCTTCTAGATGTGTTTAAGACAGGACCGTAAATGCTCGAATTAGCGCCCTTCAAATAAGCGCCCCACAGGGCGTTTCTCGTTTCCCCGGGATGAGGTGATCTACCCGTATTCACATTTACAGGTTAGGGTCTTGATCGGGTCACGATTAAATAAGCGCCGGGCGCTCGTTCGAGCGTTGTTGACACGACTCACAACGTGTAAACAAATTCCCAGCTTATACGAATGTTAGTGTCGGTTGTACTCATGGTGACAAATCACACGCAGTAACTGCCGCATGGTTAGCTCAGTTGGGAGACCGCCGGTCTCCCTGGCCGGACTCAGGGTATTTAAATAAATGAGGAGAATGTGCTGCCTTTACAATGACATCTGCAAACGGTTTGACTTTCTAGACTTCACGGATAAGAACAAAAACTGTAGGTCCAGTCTCACAGCACTTTCACTTATCCGGTTCTTGTGGGACGTAAAAGAACCCACACAACTGTTCAAAAAGAGTAGGGAACGTAGACCCCAGTGGTTTGACCGGCCTCTCCTGGCCTCGGTGGGTTATCTATAAGGACACACTTAAACGGGAGCTCCGCTCTGTTGTGTGTTCCACACCATATGGTAGAAGTGGTTGAATAAATAGATCAATAAATTAAAAGCTGCATGACCTAATTTGCTCGTAATATTTACTCTAAACACAGTATGATCAAACAAATGTGGAGGAAAAATATTTATTTTTCAGCTTTCTTTTCTTCATAACATTCCCATCTCTCCAACTAGTGTATGGGGATGAAGAAATGACAGGATCACAACGACAAGATTCACAAAGGGAATCACGTGTTATCTTACCAAAATATTTAGCATAATTTCTTAACAAATGAACAATACGAAACGAATCTGTACAGTTAACAAACTCTTCACATAACAGGTTCAAGCTCTCATCACTTTTGGGCTGCATGACAAAACGTTTCACACATAGCTTCAACTTATAGCTAAGGCCTGGTTTTCATGAAGGTACGGTTAAACCAGAAAAACAAAAATGTGCAACTTGCTTTGCATCGTTGCTGCAAAACGAGTTGAATAGCTAACACCACCCACGAATCAAACCTGTCTTGCAACAAAGAAATTTGAGAGTAGTTCCACGTTTTGCAACAAAATCTGTACATGTTGCGCGTTTTACCAGCGCTTTGCAGCAAGTGACGTAACTCCCGTGAATGGCGCGACTCTCGCGTAATTTTATCCAATCAGAAGTCAGTATTCACGCAACTTACAACAACCTGATCTGTTGCACGATAGGTTTGAACTAGCTTTTTACCTCATTTTGCAGTAATGTTACAAACAAGTTGCACGTTTTTGTAGTCTGTTTTACCGTAGCTTAATTTTAATTGTCTTCACCTTCCAGGTCATCGCAAAACGCGTCTCAGATGATTGAGACAATTTCATGGAGAAACCTCTGATTTAAGGCCACATGATCTGGTTAATTGTGGAATTGTAATCAGCTGAAGAGCCCTTGAATTTATCTGTACGCTGGTATTAATGTCATAACCGGATCATCTTGATTTTTCCCCCAAAAAACAAGGTGTTCCAGATGATTGCAACGATTATGTGCGAACCACATCTAACTGTAGCATGGCCTAACTTAGTGTATCTTCAAACGTAAGGTTCTTTTATGTCTAATATAACATTTCTATATCAGCTTTTACTTCTACTTTTGAATGTGAGTGATAAAATGGTGGATCTTACATTCAAATCGCACCTAATGAGAGAGGAACTGTCAAGTAAAGTTTGCGAAATATAAAGTTCACTAAGTTCGCAAAATTAAGTTAACTTTTGTGAACAAAGACTATCTAAAATCAACAAAGGATAGCTAAGAAATGGCGAAGGAATATAAAATGGGCATCAAATATTTTCAAGGATGTTCAATTCAAAATACTTCCTTACCCTCCTCTAATATGGTCTCTTGACTTTTTCTTTCTCTGACTAGTTCTTATGTAATTTTTTATCGTCTTTATACGAGTAGCCTCTTTGAAAAGTTAAAAATTTTGAAAATCATGAAATTTACTGGAGGAAAATCAAAATAAACCACTTGTCACAGAAAGCAATAACAGTGGTGTCATCCTATTGCATTTATCATTTACAGACAAATAGAACTTAAATCGGTGTTCAGAATCTAATGGATAACAATTACATACAATGTACCTTCATCTTATGAAACCAAAACTTGCCGTCTGAGAGTTTTATGCAAAGAGATTGACCATCACTTGAAATTCAATTCCAAATTTTCTTCAAGTTTTCAAAGATCTATACTTTTGTATATTAATTTCCTAGCCAACCTTAACTCCTAACTTCTCTAGAACCTTTATTCCTTTCTCTTGATATTCCTCTCTCGTCATCCAGAATCCCTCCTTGTCTTTCATAATGTCTGCCAGAACAGCCCCACCCAAAAAGACCATGTGTTTTCTCCTGGGTGGATCTTCAATACGGATTTTAAATTTCTGCAAGGAAATTAAATGTTAAGTTATATACGGTGGGAAATGAAACTCCCAAGCAACAATGAACCTCTAAAATAGTAACTGTCAAATTTCTCCTCACAGTATTAAGACATAATCAAGGAAAGAAGTCATGAGATTTAAGGCAATGATCCCCCAAAATCTGTTGTATATATCATTTGGCATCTTCTCTCAACTTACTCCATAAAAAAAATTTCTGGAAGTCAGTTAGAAGAATTTGCGTTTTGATATCAATTGGGGTTTAAACAGTTAAGAGGCTGATAACTTACCGACAACTTAGTGGTATCTCCCTTGAGTACACGTTCAAGATACAACTGTTTAATTTCCCTCTCTAGTCTGCTCGGCAGCCCAGGATACATAGTACTGCCACCTGACAGTACAATATGCTTGTAAAACTCTGCTCTTGTATCAATATCTGCTGCCTGGATAGTGTTGAAGAGAAGCTCAGCCACACCAACACCCTCAATGTTGATTAGATGGGGTTGGAAAAGGGCTTCAGGTGCTTCAAATCGCTCTCCACTCAGTTTCACTATTCGGCCATCAGGGAGCTAAAGATGAAACCGCAAGCATGAGAGTGAAAATGAATCACTGACCAGTTTTGTGTTAACACCTTGTAGCGTTACTAATGACATAATAATTATGTCATTATTATTTTAACCATTAAAAAACAACAGCAACAAAATGGGCTGCAGGGGTTTCAATAAACTTAAAATAGACAGCTTGTTTAGGTAGAGTACCGGATAGTATCAACAAGGTTTGAAATAATATTTCTTTGAAAATAACATTAAAGTAGCCACCTTCTCTGAGAAAGGAAGACAACAATTTCCCCTGGCTGACAGGAGTTGGTGCAAAAAAAAAGATTCTGTCTGGCTCTTAAGCTTCAAATATTCACTCCGGGATGCTTTAAGTGAACATCACTCATTCACTTTTCCCATTTTTGCTTACATAATTATAAAAAAGTAACAATGGTTATTATTTTTTTATCATAACACAATGAAGTAATTCCTTACTGTGTACTGTTCCACAAGAACTGTTGTCTCCAAAGCAAGTTTCTGTTCCTGTTCTATGTTGTATCTAAGAATGCAAACCAAACAACATACCTTATGTAACAACAAGTCTACTTGAAAGGCCAGTGGGTTTTATTATGGACTTTGAGTGTCAATGTATTTAGCACAAAAGTACTAATCGGGGACATTATTTTTATGTCTTCTACTGGAGATGGGGCCATCATTTTACAAAGTCATCTTAGCCATGTGAAGGTCTAGCCATTTGCAGGGCAAAGGCGGTACCTTCATTTTCCAGTTATTTTCTGATTAGTGGTCCACTCTTGAAAATCGAACCCACTACCAACAGTCAAGCACTCTACTGACTGAGCTAATCCTGCCGTGGTTCAATTGAGTGACTTGCTATTTCTAAAACCAATATCCGAAAAATTTAAAGAAAAAAATTACTGAAAGTAAAATACATGTAAGCATTTCAAAATTAGTTGGCATGCAGAGTAGAAAGTGTAAGGGAGGAACCATCTTGCTATATGGTTATGCTATAAACATGGTGTTCTAAGACACAAATCCTTGCAATTTATTTTTTTCCTCAGAGCTCTACTTTACATCTTTTATACAGAACAATCTACAAGGGAGAGATTAACGTACAGGTGTATGATAGTTTAGCAGCATAATAGTTTTATAAAATGTTAATTACGCCCTTTTATTTAAAAATCATCTAATTTAATACAACATTAACAATACAAATTTGCAGTTTGTTAGGACAAATACAACATTCTAATGGTTCATATCATTCCTGCAGAGGAGCTTACCCAACATAACAGAGCTTCTCCTTCATCATGCGAACAGTTTCAAAATCAGCTGTATGGTTAAATGCATATCCTCTCAGCAGAAGGAGCTTAAAATCCATAAAAAAATTCTCATTAGTCATTATCACCTCAGAAAAGTTTCATGGTGTTTATTGAGATGTATTGTAGTTTTTCAAGTTTTAGGAGCAGATCCATTTGACGAGTCTTGCAACCAGAACTAAACTGATAGCACAAGATCACAAACTACTGCATGATATCCTCAACAGACTGCTGTAGATAGCATTACCTTAATGAGGTACTTGGTGATATCACGACCAGCGATGTCAAGTCTGCGAGTGAGGTGAGGAAGAGCAAAGCCTTCGTATACAGGACAGATATGGGTCACTCCATCCCCTGAGTCTATCACAACACCTGTTAACAATCCTAAGAAAAAAAAACAGAAAGATCACAGTTGACTCTCTCTTAACAGACACCTCTATAATACAGACATCTCAGTAAAACTGATATGCATAGAGTTGGTCCCTGCCTTTCTTTACTCCCTTTATTTGAACCTCTTGTAAACAAGACATTCATCTTAGACAGACACATAGTACTGATCCTAAAGGTGTCTGTCTTAGAGACAGTTGACTGTACTATGCCAATAAACGCAAACACCTTTTACTCTTTATTGATCTCTGTAAGAATCCTACAACTCTTTTCTAGAGGAGCATATCAAGAGTTTCATATGATCTCTTTAAAACATGAGTTTAAACAGCTAACAAAAATAATTCTGCCACAGAAAGCCCTAACCCCACAAAAAAGGAAAGCCTTCAGCACTTAAAAGAAAAAATTTCTTAAACTAAAAATTTTTCTTATTGAAGGGCTGCATGCCAAAAGAAGGGACCCTGTTCTTGCAGGCAATCTTAGGCAGGGATATAGGTAGGAGTAGGCTGCTTGCAAATTTCACCAGATGAAAGAGTGCTAACCACTGACTCAAATTTCCCTGGAAAACAAAGAGATGGGGAAATTTTGAAGGTGTAGTTAAGTAACAAGCTGGCTTGACTGATACATAAGCCTGCTTAGCCCTCCCCTAGCTACATCCCTGCTTGGGACCACCAGTAAGTATCCTTAAAAGTAAGAGTTCGTATATTGTGGAGAGTTGATTTCCGTCAGTTGTCTGTACATTATTTTAGCTGGGAACACTGTAATAAGCTCATGTCTGCATTATCAGGAGGTCTGTAATAGCAAGGTTTCCTCCACAAGACAAGAGTTGACTGTAAATGGCTTGAATTCTGTTTCAGACTCAGACTTGGCCTAGTCCCTAGGCCTCATTATTATGCGCTGCCGATGCGTTTCCGGTCACATGGTCCGAGAAAGTTTTTGAAGCCTAGACAAACTCGGAGAAGTGAGACATTTTGTCTCACTTGGGGCGGAGCTTTTGGAAGCGGGCGAGCTGTCAATAACTTTTCCGCGCTGATAAAAGATGTCCAGCAGCCATGGAGAGTACAGAGGATAAAGAGTTAAACTGGGCATTTTTATTCTATGCACGTTTTCATTGTTGAAAGTCCTTTGGCCTTTCTTTTTCATTTATCTCATTAAACTAATTTGAACTTTATTTCATCTCAAAAACTATTTGTGGCTAAGCAAAACGGCGTCGCAAAAAAATTATTTGATCAAGAATCAGAGGGTAACCTAAGGAAATAAGTTTATATTTATTCTTGGATATGAAAAGCTATCTTTCGTTTCTCTATTTTCGCTTGCTCCTATAAATTTCTCATTATCATTTCCCTTCGAAATATTTTATGTAATTTAATTTTTGGATTTGGAAGCTTATCAAACTAATTGGACAGGCTGTTGAATTTGGTCTCTAAATTTGGTAGAATGTCAACAAACTACTGTTTCAAATCTTTTCATCAATAAAGAAATATCATTTTAATGGTTCATTTGAAAATGAACTGAAAGAGAAATTACTTCCATGTTATACCGTAGAATTCTTTCCGATTCAAAGTAATATTTTTGTTCTTTGATAACAGAAACCAGGTTAGTGCTGATCTTTAAGCGAAGGATATTCACGTGCAAAGCTATTTATAGATTTGAACATGGGAACTTTTCAAAGATGCAAAAATGCTCACGCATGTGCACTCCGAGATTGTCTAGGCGTCTCCCGGCCTTTTGTCTCGGATACGTCACCGAAATGCATTGACCGAGAGGGCTTGGAAAGACGCCGTATAGGGACTAAGCAAACTCAGACTTTCACTTTGTCCCACTGACCTGGTGCAAACATGGCCACTGGTCTTACTATAATATTCTTTAGTTGACATTAGCATTACTATTAAACGTCATCCTCAAGATCAAAATTCACAAGCACAACCGACTTTAGCAAAGCCTGTTTTAATTTAAACACAAGATCTTAATCTATTGGCCCTTTTTGCACTTGGTCTTCATGTATTCTCATGACCAGGATTTGAGCCAGGCCGTGCCATTGTGCCAATCCCGCACTGCAATTGGAATTGTCCCTTTAAAAAACGGCCCCTTCAAAATTTAGGGAAAAAACTCGAAACGAAGCACACACGAAGAGATTTATTTCAGTACAGAAATTGCAAGCTGAAACAGAACATGGAAAATATATTTTATCGCACCTTTAAAGTTCATTCCAAAGTTACGCTTCAGTCACACGCTACTGCTATTTTTGTCGGAAATCTTAGACAGGGCTTCTGATTCTTCGCGTGGTCGCGGAGCCGCGAAATTCACAAAAACACGAAAAATACCGCGAAATTCGGTAGAAATCTTATCAAATACATGTCTGTAAAACATATTTGAAACTTATTTCAGCTATAGCAGCTATTTACTTGCCGTAAACTTGCAAATTTATCTTGGAACTTCGTCACTGAAACATGCAAACAGATTATGTTGCGAAAAACTGGGCACTAGCCATGATGTTAAAGGCTTTGCCATTGGTTCATTTCTGGAGTGTATTGTTGTTGAAAGAGCAAATGATGAGCTCTGTTACAAAAACGTTAAAAAGGCTGGTCTGATCAGCGCAAAACCGATCGATTTCTAGCGAAATATGCCTTGAAAATAACCACAAAATTGGCCGTTTTTTACCGATTGCTTTTCGGCGAAGTTTGCCCCGAAAACTCCCGCGCAATCAGCTGATTTTTCCGCGAATTTGTCCCTAAAAATCCCGCGAAATTTGACTTTTTGTTCCGAGACCTATCAGAAGCCCTGCTAAGAAGACAAACCCCTTTGCATCAGCAGAAGGGTGTACAAATTTCTGTCCCCCTAAAAATGAAAATGTCCCCCAAAAATTTAGCCAAGGGGACAAATTGTCCCCCAGTGATCAAATCCTAGCTCAAACCCTGCTCATGACCTAATGAAGACAACATCTTTGCCACATTTTTTTTTTGTCACAGCTTACTGTATTATTCTTGTGGTTTGCTAGTCTATGTTTGGTGACCCCCCAATGGTCTCCCCATCAGATGATGGTTGAAGAATAAGTGCAGATATTCTATACTGGTGACATTTTCAAATGATCTCCTATATGACAGAGTTAAGGCATTTTGTTGAGACAAGATCAGTGAAGGTGTTCTTTTGCTAATGACACTTCACGACACTCACTCTACTGACCTTGAGCATAAAGAGTTAATACGGCTTGGATGGCAATGTATACTCCATCAAACTGATAGTTTTCAAACATAACCTGTAACAATAAAAGAAAGGATTTCAGGAAACAAACCAGAATTTTGAAAGATTTTTAACCTCCAGAGTAAAATCTAGTACCTTAGATGTATAATTAACAATTACTATCGAATGAGGCTGAGTATCATCTGAAGAATTATTGAGATTGAGGACGGTGTTATAATGATAACACCCCCTGAGATCTCTATAATTCATCAGATGATATGAAAGCCGACTTCAATAATATTGTTTTATTACTCATTCAAAATAATTCCTAGTTTTGAAACAAGCTAAAATATTCTTACCCCCATGATGTTGAAGTTCATCTTCGATAGTGCCATTAATTGACAAGTTTAGGAGATAAAGGCTTGTTCAGCTCTGCAAATATTCTCTAAATAGCAGATGCCGTCCTTCAAGTTGTCTTCTTGTTCTTGCTATGTTTTTAACCAATATTTCGCCTATTTCTTGCAGGTGAAACAAGTGAAAAGTCCACCATTTTTGTTCTCACTACCAAAACAACTCAACCTCATCCCCAGGTCTTATCGATTATTGGTTCAATAATCTGCAACTCTGCTTCACTTTTGACGTTGACCATCAGTTCAATATGTGTCACGAGCAGACATGAAGGAAGGCAGACGTGCGATTCTGAGCTCGCGAGTTATTGGACTTGTACTTATTTTGTGTCTTGTTCATACCTTGAGGAAAGATAAACAAGATTATTCTTTTACCAGCGAGTACTTTGGTCTATGTTTCCCGCATTCCTCGTCGGTTAAAGAGGTAAACTGGGATACGAGACACTGTACAAAATGGCGGACACACGTGCATGTCACTATCAGTATGAGAGTGAAACGAGCAAGCGCTACTACAGCCTACTACGCCAACTCAACCTCTACCTTTAGACCTGTTATACAACTGCTACATGATGTGGAACTTAACCCTGGACCTGCAAACTGCTCTAGTGGAGACAAGTCTGAAAAGTTAAATGGCAATGTTAAAATCGCACATCTTAATGTTCGCTCGCTCAAATGCCGTGAGCATTTCGTTCTTGTAAAGAATGCGGTACTGGAAAATAAGTTTGATATATTTACCGTATCCGAAACATGGCTCAACAGTTCAGTTACGGATTTGGAGATAGAAATCCCTGGCTATGTTATCTACCGAATCGACCGACAGGCGAGGGTTGGCGGTGGAGTATGTGCTTATGTCTCACGAAATTACAGGACGGAGTACTTGAGTGACATTTCTCTTATCACGGCCTCTGGCTTCCATCAACTGTGGCTAAAAATCCACGTCAGAAACATGAAGTCCTTCCTTGTCTGTACAACCTATAGACCACCGGACACTTCTTTATCTTGTTTCGATTCAGATCTTACAGAGAACTTTATTTATGCCTCGTCGTTTAATGTTCCAATTTATCTATTAGGTGATTTGAACTGCAGACTTGAGAATAGCGGCGATCCTGGAGCTAAAGCCCTTGTTAACTTTTTGCCGTTCCTATAACTTGTCAATATTGATCAACACACCAACACGAGTTACAGAGACTTCAAATCAATTTTAGATGTTATCCTTGCATCGGATACAAGACAAGTCCAAACGGCTACAGTTATGGAAAGCTCGATCAGCGACCATGAGCTAATTTATGTCACCTTAAGATTGAAGAAGGCGCGCTCCAAACCCATTTATATTACTACCAGAAGTTTTAAACACTACAGTCCTATTGATTTCAGCAATGACGTATCATTGGCACCGTGGTCCATAGTCGATGTTTTCGACGATGTCGAGGATAAAATTTATGCATTTGATTCGCTGTTTACTGAGATACTCGACCGTCATGCTCCAGTTAAAACCTTTAAAGCACGCTGTAAGCCAAACCCATGCGTAACCGACAACATCCGCGGATTGATGAAGACCAGGGATGATTGGCGTAAAAAAGCAAAGAAAACAAATGACCCGCTATCCTGGACTGCCTACAGATATTTCAGACAGGAAGTAAAGAGGGAAATTAGAATTGCTGAACGAGAATTTGTTGCTGAACAAATCCAAAGGAACCCAAATAACACCAATAATATCTGGAAAGCAATCCGCCAGTGTGTCCCCAATAAATCTACATCTCAGCGAACATTTAGTAAGAGCGTCAAATCTGTTGCAGACGAATTTAACCAGTTCTTCGTATCTGTTGGTCAGAGCACTGTTGACAAAATTACGTCCCTGGCTAATGAATGCAACTTAACACTTAATCAGAATTATTTCGTGCGAGACAATACGCTTCCTCTGACCAGTTCACACTTAGTACCGTTGATTATAAACAAGTAGAGCGTATAATAGCAGCGATGCCTTCAAACAAGGCCCCCGGGATAGATAAAATTCGATCCGTGTCATCAAAGACTGTCTTAATCCAATTGTTCACCCAATAACGCCTATCGTTAATGCATCCTTTCAAAACTGTGTTTTTCCATCAAAATGGAAAACAGCCGAGGTTACACCCATCCTAAAGGAGGGCGACCATGAACAGGCAAACAACAATAGACCCATCTCACTTCTACCAGTTTTATCGAAGGTTTGCGAAAGGGTAGTACATAATCAACTCACCTCGTATCTGCAATCAAATGACACCCTATCAAAGAGTCAAAGCGGTAACAAGAGATGGCACTCTTGTGAAACATCTGTCATTGAAACAACAGACACAATTCTTAACGCCATCGATAAAAAAGAAGTTAACGGCAGTCGTACTATTAGATATGAGCAAAGCCTTTGATAGTGTCAATCATGACACGTTAATTTTAAAATTGCAAGATGTCGGAATTTCCAGTGACACTCTCCAATGGTTTCGTAGTTACCTAAGCAACAGGTCACAAGTAGTACGAATCTATTCAACGCTATCTGAGCCTTTGTCTGTGACCAGTGGCGTTCCTCAAGGAAGCATCTTGGGCCCACTTCTTTTAGCATATATATACGAACGATCTTCCATTGATCCCACAGAAATGCAGCACCCAGAGTTATGTAGATGATACGAAACTCATCACTTCCTTCGAGCTTAAAGCCAACCTGGATGCAATTGATGATTTGGAAGACGACCTGTTTAAAATAGGGGAATGGTGTTCCAACAATCAATTGTTACTAAACCCTGGCAAAACCAAGTTGATGATATTTGGCAGCAGGCAGATGCGTGCAAAATTCCAATTTCGTTACCTTTCCTTTATGGGTAAGGACATTGTCCCTACAGACACCGCCAAAGACCTTGGTGTGACTTTGGATTCTAATTTAACTTACGATGAACATATAATTAAAACCGCTTCCTCGTGCATGTCCCGCCTTGGCCAGATAAACCGTGTCAAGCATGTCTTCGACAAACGTACACTTTTGATGATTATTAATTCCTTGGTTTTTAGCAGGTTATTTTATTGCTCCAATGTTTGGTCAAATACCTCAAAATGTAATGTCAACAAGTTACAGGCAGTGCAGAACTTCGCATGCCGCATTGTTAGCGGCGCGCGAATTTGACCATTTTACACCAATTCGCAAGGAGCTAAATTGGCTTTCAGTTCCCAGTCAGCTTTATTACCGAACGCTACAATGGCTTTTAAATGTATGACCGTCAAGCCCCTGAATACCTTACATCAAAATTCATAAAGCGAGCAGAGGTTAGCCGACGTAGCACCAGAAATTCACAGCTTTTACAAATCCCCTTTTTTAGAACAGCTGCCGGTCAGAGAACATTTTTCTATAGAACTGTGAACTTATGGAACTCCTTAGACAATTCCTTTAAACTGTGTAACTCGATTGATGTTTTTAAAACTCGTTTACGTACTAAATTACTTAAAGAATTGTAATTTTATATATATTTTAAAACATTTTTAATTGTAAATAGGATCATGTATTGTCTTTGAAAAGCCCCTTGGGAAAGTCAATAAAGTATGTATGTATGTATGTATGTAATATGGCAAAATTCTTCCATTTTGGTTGACAGTAGCTGGTTATGATGAATTGTGTGTGTGATTTTAGCCCATCAGAAACAGAGAAATATTTCATGATATTTTGAATGAATAATAATTAACAATTATTATTCTACGACTTCACATTGGATATGAGATGGTAGATAGCCAGTGAGGCTCGTAGCGCCGAGTTGGCTATAATCATCTAATATCCCACAAGCATGAGTGGAATAATAATTGTTTTATTACAGCCTCCCATAAAATATTGAGAATTCTTCCTGACTTTATTTGTAGAAACAACCAATTTTCAGCTTGTTTTTAATTTTGAACAGATGCGTAGAGTTACCATATTTGGAGAGCATGGTATAATGCCTTATATACCATGATGGCTAAGCCAATCAGAGCTCTAGAATTGCATTATCCAATGATTCAGTTTTTAATAATACACCATATCTAAGAACATTTTTCCTGCCATTTCTCTCTTCGTTCTCAGTAAACAAGGGGATTTGACCCCTAGAGCATGTTCCTGATTCCATACAGATTGTGGGTGATAACCCCACCAGTAACTACAGTATTCAGGCAGTTCATCATTAAGTGTTCACTGAAGGCACACTAAAGTGCACTCCTGTATACCAATAATGAAACTCTGGTATAAACAGATGACATTCCTCTCCACAGTTAGAAAAAAACGTTTGGAGCAGGACCCAGAAATAATATACCCGGAAAAAGGAGGCAACGTAGCCGAGTGGTTAGAGCTTTGGAAAAATAATTCGGAGGCCCTAAGTTCAAGTTCTACCCTGACTGCTAGCTAAATTTGTTCTCGGTAGCCCAAGTTCAAATCTTTTGCCACGCTTGTAAAATATACCCCCTACCAGTTGGGATTTTAAACCATTATATTTTTTTCTAAAGCCCCATAAGAAGAGAGAATAATTAAAGTATTATTATCATTATTATTATTATGACAAAAAATTTTTCACATCCCTTGGAATTCTTTTATATTGGGGTCCCCTGTTCAGCATAGATGTATACTGGAAGTTTACGAGCTCTAAGTACCCAACCCTTCCTGTCATTTTAAAAGCAAATTGCTATGTAGTTTAGTTTAAAAACTATAAGGCGAGCCACTCATGGGTCTCGATTTTCTATCTGATTTAAAATAAATGAACTAGCAGTTTGAAGCACAACGACCATTAAACTGGTTAAGGTTAAATTATTGAAACATAAGGAGACCAAACTTCACTCTTGTACCTCAATCATTTTCTCTCTGTTCTTCAAGGGATTCATCGGTGGCTCAGTGAGCAAAACCTAGATTTTACAAAGGACAGTTCAACGTGAGAAACATGAAGGTTTTCAGATGGTCTGGAAAGGTCGTAAGTAGTTAAGATCAAGAGTTATAAGGCATTTCCGGAATGACAGTAAATTTGACTCACTTTACAATTCCTTGTATCTACGTTAAGCTTTGTCTCTCCAAACGTGTAGTCCCATACATGTTTCATGTCGTCCCAATTTCGAACAATTCCATTATCCATGGGATAATTCACTTCCAACATGTGCCGAAGTTTGCTTGCTTCATCGCCGACCATCAAATCCTGCAGAACGAAACAACTGGTTGACATAATTTTTGAAGATATAGTGAAAGTAGGGCTTCAGGCTGTTAAAGGAGAGACTGTAGTATGCAAGACACAGCACAAACCTTCACTTCAATATCTCCAACTTTCGCCGTCGATCTAATAATCGGTCTTCCCACCATCGAAGGAAAGATGTGAGCTGGAAAGTTCGAGCCTGCATATCCGCACTTGACAAACTGGAAGCAACAACAAAAAGGAAGATCAATTTATAGAAAGCAGTTTCCAAGATGTAATAGACAGATCTGCTTACCCCTGTGCCGTTGTCGCAGACGATTACTTTATTTCCTTTGGAATCCATCGCTATGCTCTTCCCACCGACCACTGTTGCCGAAACAAAATGGCCGCTGCTAACTTCCTCAACGCCTTGTCACGTGACAGACTGTAGTTTCCGACACCTCCCCCTTGCTGTGTCAAGTACGCAAAAAGGGTCCGAAAAGAGACTGTACAAGAGTGCTTTCAGACAATGGCTGGTTGATGTGGACAGAAGTGATAAAAAAATTATTTGAACTAAAAATTCCACAGCCAAGGAGTCTTACAAGATCTACCAGAGGCGACCAATTTGATGACGGGGGTCTGAGGACCGGTACTTCCCGCGTATCCTGCATCTTTCGTGGCAGGGCTTAGAGCGATTTTTTGCCCCCGGAAAAAATTTGTGAAGCAGACTCTCGGAGAATATCAACTGCCATATATAGTTAATTGTGGGGGCGTGGTTGGATAGATTAAAAATAGCCGATGGACGTTGCACTGGGGGGGGGGGGGTGCAGAGGATCCTAATCCTCGTCCACTTCCTCTCCTTCCCTCGTTGCTTTGTTTTTCCAATAGAGGTAGAATTCAACTACATACGAAGACCCTTGTAAGCGATCCTCAAAAACTTGCCTGTTCTGATTGATACATTCGGGACTTCCCCTGTCTTCTGTCCAGTCAACTCAAAAATCCTTCATGGGATTTCTAGTTACAGGCACAGTAAGGGAAAGTTCATTAAATATGACAAGGGGTGGGGGGGATGAAGATATTGAAACTCGAAGCTTGAAATTTTAGCAGCCCCCCTCGCTAGCGGTTCAATTTTTTAGGAGCCCCCTCCTTGGTAGTCGAAAAGATTTCAGAGCCCCTTCCCCCCCCTCCTTCAATTCCTTTGCTCCCCTGAAAAGAGATCGCTAGACTGTATTAAATATATTTACCGTTATTATCTTCAATGGTTTATACTATGACAAACTTGAGATACAGTAGTGATACAATTTTCTAAAGCATTTTTGGGATGAACAAGAGTGTAATAATTACTGAGACTACATTTGTTATATCTGTAAACCACGTGATATAGCTGAGTTGCACAGGTCATTAAATTGTTGAGTTGAAAACCATCCGATCTGTCAGGCTCCTGGATCTGTATGATGATGTCATGTGTTGGTTTTGAAGTATACAAATTTTCGGAGCCCCCCCTCCTAGCGCAACAATTTTTTCAGAGCCCCCCCTTCGGGCGTCTAAAAATTTTCGGAGCCCCCCCTCAATATCTTCATCCCCCCCCCTTGTCATATTAAATGAACTTTCCCTAAGATGGTTAAAATTGTGTCATCGAAAACAAGAGTCTAAAGGAGAAGAGAGGTTTAAGTGCATCGATCACATCTACTATCTAAAACAATGTTAGCGTCACATTACACCCTTACATCCCCATACCCATCCCTTGTATCTAACCCTTCAGGCCTGCTAACCCTTTAGGCCCAAAGAGTGATCACCATCATTGTAAAACAGTGGTGATGAAAATTACGGCTCCTGACATGATCACGAGAGAAGAATTTGCTTGATATTTGATCAACTTCCCCCCATTACTTCTATAGGAAATGAATTGGGGCTAACAATGAGAATTCCAATTTTGATCTTAGGGTTTAAAGGGTTAAAGAAGAAGTTTATATCTATTCTACTCCAACTGCTCAGTGAGATGTTGAAAACATCCCGTATGTCCCTCTCCCTCTGCCTTTTCGGTCTTCCTCTTTCTCTTTTCCCATCAATCTTTCCCTCCCTGTAATATTTCCCAAGCCTCAACTTCTTTTCAGATGGCCAAAGCAGTTTATAACAAAGGGTGGTCTTTGGTCCTAGGAATTTTGCTGCCAATATTATCTTCTTCAGGGCACACCAATTCAGGGAGAAAATGAAGAGTAAACCAGGGTTGTCACAAAGGGCCGGGGGCCGGGGATTTCCCCCGGCTACGCTTGTTTTAGCCTTATCATACTTTTATTTTCAACAAACCATAGTAACCTTATGTTTATGATGCTTTTTCGTACATTCATCGTCTGCTTGTCTTCTTTCCACTTCTCCGTGGGTTAATTCATTTGTAAAATTAGTTTTACTTTTGTTTTCCGTAAGTTGTTTCATTCTTACGTATAACTAAATGAAGATTTACAATTGATTTTACAGCGCATGTTAATTCATTTGCACCGTATAAGAATCGATTGTCCTTTCCACATTTTTAACGTTTGTAAAGTATCGTTGTGATTTAACACTTGACTGGCCAGCATGCGCCTTGTCTGCGTGACGATAAGACTGCGCAGATAACGTGACCGGTGCCAACCTGTCATTTTTTTCAGGCCCGGTGCTTACGTCTATATTCCCATTTGGCAGCCACTAAAAAAACCCTCCAACGAGCCTTTATGTAAAGTAAAAACTTATTATTTTAGTGTCTCAGAATGTTGTAGTTTTCTTTAATAAAGACGTGATCATTATAAAACCGCTAATGATAGCTGTACTTTTGATGAAGATTGCTTTTTGGGGGGCGGTAATGCCTTTTGGAAAACGGTAGAAGTTGCATTTCAAAAACTTCTTGGGGGAGGGGGTGGGGGGAGAAGGGGCTCCATGACTGCTTGCGATTTCCCCGGCTACTAAAAACAAATACCCGGCAACTTGAAATCTTAGTGACAACCCTGGTAAACCCTTACACCCTTAGAGCAATAAAAATATTATTATTACGAACACATCTTAGGTAGTTCTCAGCCTCGTTTCTAGTCTTTGATTTTCTTATCCCAGAGGGGAGATGAATGTCTCTGAGAACAACACCTTTTATATACCATTTTTTGGCAGAAAAGGTACCCTTTTGGATACCATCCATTGAAAAATGATGCCCCTTTCACATACCTACTAACATTAAGTCTGCTCTTCATTTTATCTGGCATTAAACAAATTAAATTGATATAACGGTAAGGCTTATTGGTTTGAAATGTTTTAGTTAAGGCCCGTAATTTTCCCTACCCTATATGCCCGAAGCCTGAAGAAGGTACCCCTTTCGGGCGGGGCCCCCCCGGAAAGGACTATCATATGGAGACCCCCCGGGGGGTAGTAAGGATGTTACAATTTCCTGAAATAGTCAAGGTTTATTCAGGCACAAAACCTGCTGCATAAATCTAAAGCAACAGAAGAGGATTAAACCATTTTACTGTCACCATAGTAGCCTGTGTACAGCCACCCCTTCCCCTTAGAAAAAAACTGATTTTTCCTGAGAAGAGGGGCGGCTCTACACAGGCTATCACTATACTGATATGTATTCTTAGACAGGTGAGCAGAGTGCTTATAATCAATACCCTAAAGAAGAGCCCACGTGCACCACAAGAAGCTGAAAAAATTCAGTACTGGAATAAGGCTATGGTGATAAGAAACATGAAAGCCTAGCTTTCATTCATTACATTGTAGTTATCCGTAGAAAGTGCCAAATTAAGCTAATATTATTGTTCTGATTCACTTTACAACATTACCAGTGTTAACAGCTTCTGTTACGTGGATCCAAATTAATTTAATCTGCTCATATTTGAACAACATTATCATTGAATTCCAATGCCCCCAAGAAACCTACAGAGGAGTAGGAGAATTTAGAAGAAGAATCACAAATGCAGTTATGACACACGTTTCAGAAAGGATTGAGACCAGAAAATTTACATGTAAAAACCAAGACAGCAATAATATTATTGTTACATTTTCTATTGTTAATGTAATTATTTAAATTCAAATACTAATATCATGGGTGACAAATAACTACATTTTTTGGTTAGTCTGCTTCACAGCGGTTTTTAGTGTCGTCACGCAGTGCTCCTCCCCAAAGCAGCTGTGTAGCAGACTATTTTTTGGTGCAAAATTTTAGCATTAATTTATAATAAATTTGGGAAATTATTTCACTTTCCTGCTAACGGAGGCAAATGGCAAACGGAAAGCTATACACGTATGTTACAAATTAATCCACCCTTTGTTTTAGTGAGTAGAATTATCCATACAATAAACTAGTCAAAACTCTTAATTGCACAGTAAGCATAATTTGTCACTCATGATAATAAGCATAACTGTTAAGTAATCAAAGGGTATACTTGTGAAATTAGGAAATCAATCCTCTCATGTCTTGTCAAAATTTCTAGCAACAGCAAGGATCTCGGCAAAATGTGGGTGAAATTATTTCCTAACATCACTCATCACTACTTTGTGATTACACATACAAATTTGTTGCTGTTGCTTTCAACAGATGATGGCATTGGAATTACTGAAACATGTCTTGTTGTAACTTTAAGAATTGTTATCATGTCCTTTTTAAAGTTTCAGGATAAATTCACAAAGAGGTGAGGGCTTAAACCAACCTCAAAAGACAATGATTTAGATTATGGGTTTCTTGTATTGAACCAACACTTCATTTATAAATTAAAATATACATGTGTATTTACTAATCTGCCCTATGTGGCAGACTAGGTCCCAAAAGGTATGTTTCTACTATTTTAATTTTGGGAGGATCAACACTATACTACAAAGTAAACAAAAACAGAAGTTCTCTCAGACTGTTATTGCATATAGAGAGGGATGTGGCAAGGTAAAAGGAAATATAATTAGCAAGTTGTGGATCTAGAATGTGGCAAGTCTTGTAAATCATTTGCATCGTGATCTTCATCTATGTCTTCATCACTCAGACAACTGTTCCCGTTGGGTGCACGCCCTGAGTAAAAGAGAAATAACATCATTCTATAGCTTTCCTTGATGTTCTAGCGGTCCAGGTTTGAGACAAAACAATAAATTGCGGTCTGCAGACTTCAGGCAAAAATAAATAACCAAAACCAATGAACAAACAAACAAACAGACAAAAGAACTTGAGCCCTCAAACAGCTCCACTAAAGTGATCATTTTTTTCTTACCTCCTGAAAATAACCAAAATTTACACTTTGCCCCTTCCAACAAATTTTAACAAGTATGATTTATCAATAAGCTTAAAAATGCTCCCCTTCGAATACCATTTCTATACAAAAAAACCACCACCCCTCACAACTATTGCTACAGGACCATTAACTGCCTCATTCCTCGTCACTACTTGTTTCATTTTTTTATCTTACAGCACTAAAGGGTAATGGGGTGGGGTGTGAGGGAAAGGAAACCACCACGGACCCCTCCAGGGAAGCATGCACTTACCACTTTACCTGGTCGAGCCCATGTGCGGATGAATCCTTCATGGCAAGCCATGACAATACAGTCTTCTCTAAATGATAATGCTGTTAGCCTCTCATTTGCAACTTTCTTGGCAACTAAAGGTTCTAAAATGGGTATGTCCTCCATTCTAGGACAAAGTACAGTTCCTGGTGTGACATTTCCAGTATTAACTAAATTTTCCATGGATTTTGTCAATGTATGTACTTGAGTTAAACTCTTTGGTGCATCAAATGAAGTCAAGGGGGCAACAGCATTGCCACTGCCTGTGTGATTCACTTCATGTGTGATGGGTCCATTGGAAAAGTGATGTGCAGAGGTTACATGTGAATTTGAAAAAGTTGTACTAGCACGCACACTTCTACCACGAGGTCTCTGAACTCTGAGAACGTCATCTCCCAAATCCCATAACATAAAATTTGTATCTTGGCCTACTGACCCAAATCTATAGCAAGTAACATTTTTGTCCTCAGGTGTAACAGAACTTGAATGCTGTGAGGGTGCAATACCATTCTGTTCAATTTCATCTTCATCACTGTCATCAACGCGACCTTCCGCACTCACACTTGTGGTGTAAGGATCAAAAGCCACTACTTGAACCCAAGACTGGTGTCCTACTCCACGAGCAATGACCCTCCGTTCAAGAAAAGACCACACCGTCACAAGGTCATCCTCACCTCCTGTGACAATGTACTTGCCATCTGGACTCCAGCAAACACAATTGAGTCCTCCAAAAAAACTCTTCATCACACCACACAGAGACTGCAAGTCAAAGTCAAAAACTCGCAAAAAGCCATCTTGATTTGCGGTTGCAATATGTTTACAGTCAGGAGAAAAGGCAAACTCATTTATAGCTCCCTCTCCAATGGTCCATTTACAAACTGGGTTCCGCGTGGTTTTTGATTTGCCACTATATATTGTATAGCCAGGTCCTTGTTTCATAAGAGCATACTGAGGAGGTCCAGCTCCTGCTGGATGCTCCTTGTTATAAACAAACATGTTCCCACTTTCGTGAGCAACAAGAAACAAATTTTCAGATCCTGGAATCCATTTGAGACACATGACTTTGGTTTTATCCACAAGTCTCTAAGAGAGTAACATGAATAATAAAATTATGATGGTGAGTATAAAACAAAGGGAGATACTGGTTATTGAATGAAATAAGAATTATAACATCACGACTGCCAACGTCAGTTGGCAAAATTCTACCTATGGTCAGATATGATGACCAGACAAATCAAATTAAGACTATCACTTTGTAGACAAAGCTTTGTCTAGTAATTATTAAAGAAGTTAAGAGACAACATCATACAAGTCAACAATTTTTTTGCATGTCTGGGTAAAATGGTGACTTTGTCAAGCATATGTCCTTCTCAAAAAGATACTCAGTGCTACTGTTTGAAAGATAATGGACTGTTATCAGGAATCAAAATGAAATCACAGCTTTTAGCCTGAATCTCTAAGCTTTTCTTGTCAAGGCTTATTTTTTCCCGGCTGTGAATAATGAATAAGTTTGCTTTGTATGTGTCCAATAACGGCTGATGATTTCAAATGGGAGATTCTATGAATAACTTATTTTCACTTTCCACGATGATCTGCATGATCTGCATGTGTTAATTAACAACTCTACCAAGAACCATTTGCTAAGCACGTGACCAAAATCTTTTTGAATTGAAATTTCACTTTCTTCCTTGAGGAACCTTGAAAACAGAAAAAGATTTTAAAAAGATTTTGCACATAACTTGCATGTTTCATGCTTCAACAAACGGGTAAAAGAATAATTAGTAAATCATGGTGAACAAGAATTCTCTTTTTCATCTTTGGCAGCACGCTTTAAATTTCCAAACCTTTTTCTACACTTTCCAAACATTTTAAAACGTTTCTTGGCTGCTTTATTGTCTGATACAAAATGTTTACTACAACATTACAGCGACTTTGATTTCAGTTGGCTGATCAAAGCATGACATTTTCTATTTCTTTGGTGAAAAGTCAGCAGCAATTGCACTCAAATGCCGGCTGCTAGTTTGAACCCTGGTTATGCAATGATCCTCACATTCTCAAGATAAAAGACTCACTTCTAAATTCTACAAACTTCATGTGGCAATGATATTGTTACCTCTGCGTCCTGCGTCCCTGACATAAAAATCCCCAAAGATGCAAAATAATTCATAGCATGTGTCCCATAGAATGCAAAGCATGATCAATTGATTTGAAGATTTTTTGGTAGAATATCCTGTTTGTGTGATTTCTGTGGCTGTTGTTTGAAGATGCATATTTACTTTAGTCTTTTTTGTGCTTTGAATATATAGAAAGACTGTATTTTAATTTCAGTAAACTGTAATAAAGAGTTTTGGCATCTGTCTCCAGATTACATGTAACTGTCTGGTTACATAAAGGCCCAAGCATTTTCAATTTAGGAGTCCCTGTTTTAATTTCCACTGATTGGTTAAGGACAAGGACTCATGATTTTCCACAAGATGAGTCCTACATGTAGGACTAACCCCAACTATTTGTAACAAAATCACTGAGGATGCACTTGTTGTCAGTGAAAGGTTAAATGGCACTTACCTCCTCATTGAACAGTTTGTTGACCTCATGTTTGACAGGATCAAGTAGCTGAACTTGTCCAGCAGAGAAGCCAATCAAGAGTTCCAAGCTTTCAGAGGACCGTGTTATCAGGTTGAAATCATGACAAGTTGGGATTGTCCCTTTGTAGAGACGTTTGTCAATAGGCTTTGTCAGGTCTGCTGCCTGTAAGTAAAGAAAAACAAGGTCTCAGAGGAAAAGCGTCATTTTTTAAAGTTGTTTTTCTAGCCCAGCATAAATCCCGGGGAGGGGTGGGGGTGCTCGACCAATATCTGGGTATAGTTGAGCTGACCCTGACCCTGTTTAAGACAACAAATTCCTAAAATATATACCCTGTTTAGGACAGCCACCTTTATTTTATTACCCTGTCTAGGACAAAATACACGCCAGAGCAAAATTAATTCACATAACAGTCCTTGCTTTAGTACACTTGAAGTATAAACAAAATTCATCTAGTGAATCAAATCAATCGGCAAGCAATGCCTTGTTGACAGACTCACAAGAAATAATATACCCTGTTTAAGACAGACTCACACAAAATTATATACCCTGTTTAGGACAGAGAGGTAAAAAACCATACTCTGCCCTGTCCAGCAGTACATCCCTGTATGGGCTATGTGAAGGAGTCCAAGTAATCTTAAAGTGGAATTCTTACCCCAATACTGCAATCCATTCTAAATTATGAGTGGAATGCACTGATTAAAAACATGGCAAGCATTCTCTCTTAGCTTATTCTGTCATGGGTCAAGTACAAAAAAAAAGTCTTTATTCAAAATTCATTCAGGACCTTAGCCTCTAATATTATGAAAAATTTTTACAACGTAACAAACATTTTACAGTGAACCTGGTAAACAATTTCCAGGAAGAATAAAATTTGAACTTGATTGTTTCAACAATGACTTCGTTAATGGTTTAATATTGCATTATTTCAGTTTAAGGGTTGAAATTCAACACAATCTTGGATTCAAGAATTGAATTTTGATGATATAGATGAGCATCCATCTTCAAAACATTAACAAGTTCATCCTCAAGAAACCTCAAGATCTTTTATCACAGTCTCCAGATGACTAAACTTACATGTACCTGTTACAGTACAGGCCAAAGTATTGTTCCTGAAACATGACAATGAAATTTGGATCTTACTTTGTACTGTACTGACGATTTTAGCTTGTGACTCAGTGAGATGGACGGAACAAAATAGAGAACCATGGAATGGTTATCACTGGTTCTCAATGGTAAGATATTCAGTCATAGACAGTGCTCAGATAAACAGAGTCTGTAAAGTGAGGCTCGCAATAAATAAAGTTGTCTTTTTCAACGTTATTTTTGATGTTTACACTCACGTGGAGAAAAGAGAAAGAGCTAGGGCGGGTCATTGGAAACAACGGAGATGAATTTCGTTAGAAGAAAGACATGAAAATTTCATAGGGGCGGTGAGAAAATGAGAAATGCTAGCGGCCAGCTAGGTGAAAATGAAAGGAAGTGAAAAAAAAAGCAAACATGAACACAAGAAACAAAATCTTTGGTAAGCACAAACAACATTTCCTCCTTAAAAATAATGTGTAGCTAGGAACATTGACGTTTTAGTCGCACAAAACGCATTGCAGTCATGCAAGACAATGCCAAAAGAGCGTGTTGCACATGCAAATTTCTTTTTTTGTAATTAGGAAAAAAGAGTGCTGCACGTGCAAATTTCTTTTTTTGCTAATTACAAAGTAGATCTATTGATCTTGATACCATTTTTATTGCCGTCCCCATTTAGCATTACACCATTCAATATTTTCAACCAGAGCTTCGCTTTAAAGTGTTAACTTGAGGACTATGCAAAACTACACCGTAGCAGTTGTCTCAAACAAATGATTTGACAAGCTGACATTAATTTTTCTTAGGCCAGTCTTTCCACAGGCATGTCACCAAAAAATCTGACGCACAATCTACACTTTGTATAGTTTTCCTACTAAATTTTAGTGCATAACAGTTGGATAATAATTAGCTTAGAGTTGTTTTGGTGTGTTGTATAAGTTCTTCGTACTTGTTGTTTGTATTTTGACTTCCTTATAGCCCTTTCTAAATACAGCATGACTTTCAAAAATGAACCTGTCGGGGATTCCAAAGCAAGCCGGCGACTGCCAGAGTTCCCCTGCCTACTTGATTGTATGCTGCCAGGTACTCTGGTCATAACAATCAGCTTGTGACAAACAATCTTGATTGTCACAGCCGCCTACTTTTCCAGAGACGGTCGCCTACTTCAAAACATTTTGAAACTCCTGCTCTCTATTGAAATTTCCGACAAATCCAAGTCGTGACAATCGCTTTTGATGAAACAGAGTTTTTAGAGATTAAAGCGACAAAACCATTGCCATTCCAATCAAGTTTGACAACTTTTTAGTAGTGTGATGAAGAATTTAGTGTGCTGCATGTTCAAAGTTTTTGCCTTGTTCCTTGTTTTATTTTCTTATTTCTGGGATGAACATTGTGGTGTGCAAGCTCGCTAGTAGCTTTAACTTGCAAAACCCTGTTGATATGGATCTATTTCATTGAAAAACTGATGATACGGAAAATGCGTAAAGAAAATGCCATTTGCAGGTACCCACAGAGATGCTAAAAAATGCTCAGCAATAATACACACCAATACATCTAAGGTATACATAATAACCCATGAATTAAAAAACTTGAGATTTTTAATCAATTAGCTAAACAAATGTTTTCAAGTGGCAAAGACAGTCAAGATCACATTCTACTTCAAAAACTGATGTGAATTGATCTGTGTTTATGAAACAAGGGATCAGTAAATTTGTCCACAAATGAACCCCAAAACGTAATTTACATGTCTGATCTTTTCTTATTCCAGGCGATTTAATAACTGTTCCTTTTGGCATTATTTTATTATGTGGCTGCTAATGTCACAATCACATAAAAAGAAATAGGGTAAATTTAAAGCACATGTTTTGTTTGCAAAAAATTCAGGTAACAGGTACATTTGTATGAATATTTTTGTGAACTTATATCTTGATGAATAATGTGTAAGCGAAAACGGATGATCTGCATACTGCCGGATAACGTTTCGAGAAACAATATTATAATTTCAGCTAACTACGTTTATGTTCTATTCGTACATGAAACTCATTGAATTTTTGTTTTGTCTTCAGATGGGTAATTTAGCCTTTTAGGTTACTCACGAGTGAAAATGGAGCTGACAGTACAAAACAAATGCCTACGTTGTAGACTTGGAACTTTTCTTGTTTATGTGGTTTTTTTACGGTTCCTGTTTACCAGTATAGTTGTCGTATCTAGCAGACATGTTATGTTTGCAAACGACAGGGAAATCACAATGATGGGTACCATTTGTCGGATTATTCACAAACTAAGTTTACTTTACTTCTACGAACGAAGATTGAATAAGGTACTCATACAACACACGCATTACAACTTTGAAATATTCTGATATTTCCCCAAAATTTTCAGTTTCGCTGGTTAAAGTTAAGCTTAAGTTTAGTGTTAATGATAAAACACTGTGTTGAAGGCGACAGTGAATTCCAGAGAAACCTGCTAATGCTAGGAAAACATGCACAATTTGACAAAAATAACTCACACAAAACAGCATAGTTTTACACTACACCTATTTCACGGTTATTTATCGCGCTTTTGATGATTATCAACCCACCTTCCGCACTCCTTTGTAGATGTAAAAATACAATTCTCTTCCTACATTGAACGCAATGCGATCGTTACATCCACCTTGATCCTTCAATGTCACAAACGATACTCGGACCGGGTGGCATTGTTGAACAGAGTAGGGGACCTTGTTGGGTCGAGAATAAACCGAAAGATCTAACAGCCTGTAGCAGCCCTCTTTAGTCGCGAAATGATGCTTGATTTCTTGATTTGCAGGCCCTCTACCAGAGGCCATCGCGATTTACAAAACACGCATATTGACGACTAGCTCGCTCCCCGTGGCCCGGTTACTACGCATGCGTGTATGTGGACTGATCAAACAGGAAAGCTGGAATTTTTATCACGAGGAAAGTTTACGCAAACTTTTCTGCTTTTCCTTAAGTTATGCAGTTGTTCAATACTGTTGAAAAATGTTTGAGATAATGCAGTGCTTTTTTTAGGGATTTGCAATGCCGTAAACTCGGGGGGAGGGACATTTACCGGGGACATTCAAGTGTCCGGGTGCAAGTCTGTCGAGTGACGGGGGATTTAATTACACACAATCGGATTTTGTAGTTAGCCGTCAAGTTTTATTCATGCAGACTCAGACTTCCTGCAATCTTATACTCTTAACATCACTTTGTTGTAATTTAAGACTGGGAGCAATCTACGCCGTTACGAGTAGTTTTGATATCTCGAGAAGCCACGGGGCAGGAGGCGGCCATTCCGACCGGATTCTGTCTCTCTGCGTCTCTGTCACCTTTAGCTTTAGTATCAGGCGTTTCTGGGGGAAAGGGCGAAGAGACTGTGAAACGGAGAGAGAGCAGAGGGATAGAAAGTATATAACTATATCTCTATTCCCTCCTCCCCTCAAATCTCAAATCTCTCCTAGCCCCCAAGGAAGTCCCGGGTACCCAGGGTATGTCACGCTCTACATCGGAGGGAGGCTACGCCCCGAGGTCCAGCCCTTACCCTTATATAAGTTATATATCAGTACCATTTTATACAGAAAAGGTACCCCTTTCATAAACCTAATTGTTCCCTTGTCACGTACCTAGTTTACAACTTTGCATCCTTTTAACTGCTATAAAATCCTGTTAGCCCTTTTGGGTCTTTTTACAGACCGAAATGACAGATATCTCTGTCCTTTCATATACTTAAACTAACGAAATTCCTACCCTTTTACATAACTGAAGCCTAAAAAAATGTATCCCTTTCGGGAGGAACCTCCCGGTATAGGCCATTGTAGCTAGGGAGTACCCCCCCCCCGGGATTTGAAAGAACGTTTCCCGCAATTAGCCTCGGGCACCCAGCGACTTTTTGCAGTAAAATAACTGCTCGAAGGATTAGCTCACCGGTTAGACCTTTTGTTTATGTTAATTCTGCAAAGACTTTATGCAGTTAACCTCTGAGATCTCACTTCCTTATTTGTTTCAAATGGGTATGTGCCGCTGAACAGGGTATAGGTTTTCAGGGTCTTGAGTCTTTAACACAGGGAAGCCTTTGAAGGAGTGCTCACAAAGGAGCCGCACCTGATTGTACCAAAAACGTTTTCTAAAAAAATCTAATTCCATGATGCTAGTTTGAAAAATTGCTTTTGTAGGCATCATATTTTCCCCTGAGTATAGCCTGTGAGCAAGCTCTCCGTAACCCCGCGTAGAGGGATGAGTACTCCCGAGATATACCCGAGCAACCAAATCGGAAGACTGGAGAGAGCATACACGTAGACATTACACAGACACATCTACACGCATGCGTGTACCCTGGCAAATCCAAGATGGCGGCCAGCATTCGAGCCAGGCAAATAGGTAAATTCTCCCTAAATTTAGATCTTTATTTTATTTGATTTCATTTTTAAATCAATTAGCAATCGGAAAAGGTGCTCAGTATTGAAAGTCTTTAATCATGATTGTGATCGTCCAATTCATTTAAAAGTAAACCAGATGATTGTCGTCATTGAAAGTGAAACAACACGAGTTAAGTTGAGCTCTTTGATACCTTTTTAAATTTCGTTTAACGAGAAAGTTTCATTTTATGTTTCAGATTCTTTAAAGCGCATGCTTAATCTTAATCAACCACTCACGAAGTCAACTGCTATCGAGCCAGTATGGAAGGTAAGGTTAGGGAATGATTCTAGCAGATAAAAAATATTATACAGTATTATACTATTAGTCATAACCATGACAAAATTCTCAAATTTGTTAAGATTAGCTATCAACTCTCCTGATTTTAGCACTAATAGGACACTGCTAGCAAAAAAAGTCTTGGAATTTCTTTTATCACAAATTTTGTCCTGGTTATGATTAATTGATAACATAACTTCATGTCGTCCAGTTTGGTCCGTAATCATACTCTTGGGATTAAACAAATTGGACTCCCCCGATTTTGTTTTTAATTGGTATGATTACTGACTGAATTGGACTCCACTCAGTCCTATTAGGGACTGTTCATTATTTATGCCTAAGGGAGGGTCGGTGATTTTCAAGCAATTCAGGCATATGAAAAATTTACTCCTCCCCGGAAGTGGGTATTTTAAAAAATTACCCCCCCCGTTTATGTGACAGGCCCAAAATGTAACCCCCCCTACCCCCAACCCCCTCCCCTCAGGACGCGACGTGCCTCCAGTTGCGAAATTGCGTACAACACGTGTTCTTTTGTAAAGGTGAAGAATCTCTGAATGCGCCGTAAAATTGCGGCTGCAAGTTTGTCGTAGTCTATCTCCATTTCCGCAAAAATGACTCCTATATGGCGTTGGCAAGCGGGACCAATCTCAAGTTTTGCTGTTTGAGGATTTCTATATACGCACTGACAATACTGTATTACAACTACAACTGGCCCCGGCAAATGACATGTGGGTGGGTTTTGCTATTATTAAATATCAAATTGCATTTAAAGGGATTTAATAAGTTAATATATATTGGAACCTTTAAATAACGCTACTCCACGTCACGTTTTCTTGGCTTTTCAAACTATAAAGACCAGGCGCTTTGTATTAAAATAGAATTCTCGATACAGAGTTCAACTTTTTAAATATGTCTGCAAAACGGCTACACAAGTGTTAAAACAACAGTTTCTAAAAGCTTACCCCCCCCCTATTTGTATTTTTAAAAAACACCCCCCTTTTTCATTGATTTTGAAAATTTTACTCCCCCACTCTAAACACCGGCCCCCCCCTTAGGCATAAATAACGAACAGTCCCTTAGCATTATTTGTTATTTTCACCACTGCGTGTCCTTTGAAATCAAAACACTTTGAAATAGACTTTCGTCAATCAAAAAATGCAAATAACTCCAGTACCTCTTTTGGAAACAAGCTGCTAGGCTTTTAGAAAAGAACCTTTTGGAGTTCCCCTTTCCGGGGCCGCCAACCGCCCACATTCTCAAATATTTAGAATTGATAGGGAAGGGATGACATATAAAGTCATAATGCACGGCATATAATGTCATTAATTTATGCAAAAAATACTTGTTGACTCCAATCGTCACAAATTTACGATGACACAAACTGTGCAAAACATATGTTGTTGGCATTGTAACATATGACCTGATTGGTGTACTTCCCACAATGGCATACCAGAGTTTATGATTGATGGTAACGGTAAAATAGCTCAAACAACACAAAATATTTGAAATTTTATGCCGGAAAGTCTGGTCTACAAAAAATGGCAAACTTTAGCGATTATGCGGGAGATTTCAGACTCTAATCTGGAGACTGGGAAATACGGTCCAAAATCTGGAGTCTCCCGCATTATCCAGGAGAGTTGACAGCGCTACCTTTCTGTAGGGGCAGGAATACAGTTAATAAAAATTAATGAAAAGTACTTACTGAATAGATAAATAAATAAAATATAGAGTGGAACTCTGCCTTACAACCTCCCCATTTATATGATCACCTCATTATTGTCAAATTTTTCTTTCAACCCAAACCTAAAAATCACGAAGTCATTTATTATTTTGAAGACCCAGTTAATGTGACCACCTCGTGATTATGACCAGGATTTAATGCCCCAGCAAGGCTGCAAATAACTAACGGGCAGTCGCCGGTCACGTTGTCCGGTCAAACATGCTTTTGCTCGGACACTACCCGTTTTTGACCGGTCAAATTTTAACAGTCGGAACTCTTGCGATAGTGAACCCAGATTGCACAGTAATCCTTTTACAACTAAAAAACAACTGAATCCAAGTCGGTCTGGCAATAAAAATTACAAGTTAATAGTTTTACTACTCTTTACTGCAGAAGCAGCCTCGCATTGAGTACGTGGAACGGTTACGCAAGATACAACCGCAATTGTCTGTTTTACTTTACATCTGGCAAAATCACTTATAATTAAATATTACACTTTGGCAATCACCACATCAGTTCTTCAACTGAACTTTAAGTAAAATATGCAGAATGTGTGAAAGCTGAAGGGTTCAATCGATCTCTTAATTAAGCTAACTGAAATGTAAGCTTAAAATTTAATATAAACAAGAAACACTTAACTTTAACTCGTATTGTCTTAGGGTTTCGAAATTCGGCACCACTCTATGAAATTGTATAAAATGCATGGCGTCTTATTCCAAGTGCAATTGTTGCGCTCGCTGACTTTCTTCCATTTAGAATCCCTTAAAGACAACCTTATTCTTCTACTTTTTGTGTTATGCGCTCCATTTTTGAGTTAATCACCAGAAAGCTTAGTAACCAAACACGTTTTGCTGGGTGTGCCGGACATTTAATGCAGTGGGATCGTGTATTGCATCATCTGAGATACAATCACGTACATTTTCTGGTACATTCAACGCGTTACAGATAAGAATATTTTGTGTATAAATAAACTAACAAATTGTTGAGTGAACCTTGCAATTCAGAGGTTAGTAATAACAGAAAATATCTACTTGCAGACAAATAAAGACAAACTCTCTTTTTATATATCTTGACTTTTTTTGTTTTCAGTACAACTCAGAGCCCTTTTTTTAAAGTTGCAGTTGTGAATTTTTGTTAGAGTAAAAGAGTGGTTGGATTCTCCAGGTTTTGGGGCTTTTGCTCGCTTTTTGCTCTTTGCAAGAAATGCTACTTGGAGTATTCTCAGTGCAGCAAGATTATTCTTCATGAGGGTGCTTTCCGATCATTCGATCAATCAAACAATCAATCACTTTATTTAAGAGTAAATTATGGTATCTAGCCAAAGGTAAAACCCTCTACTAACTGGGAACACTTAAATAAAGTAAATAAAATAACGGAAGACACGATGATTTGCGGTCGCGACAGGACTTGATGACCTCGTGGAAATTTGCGACTGCCGGGAATTTCTCGACCACTAATTTGTCTACTTTTATATTCGTTTTTTTTTTCTTTCGGAAACATGACTGTTGTCCCTTGTGATTATCAAACAGTTAAAAATTAAAATTTCTTTGAACGAGTCGGTAAAGGACCGGACAAGATGTCGGGTAATCCAAGGATTTGTCCGGTCAGTATCCAATTTTGACCAGACATTGTCCGTTGACCGGCCGTTATTTGCAGCCCTGCCCCAGCAATGGTCACTTTAACAGGGTTCCACTGTTAATCCTAATTTGTTGGCTATGTTCTTCTATCATTGATTAGGTCCTTGTGTATGACAGATATGGCCAGGATATCATCTCTCCTTTGCTTAATGTCAAGGAACTTCGAGAAATGGGAATTACACTACATCTGTATGTTGATTGTCCGGCATTTAGCCCCCCTTTTGGTAGAAATGAATTGAATAATACATTTGAACCTCTATTAGGCAGGCAACCTTTTAAGAGGCCACCCTCTATTAAACGGCCAGTAATCAAAGTCCCAAAATAATATTATTGTGGAAAAGAGTGGGAAATTGTACCTCTAGTAAACGGCTGCTGCCACCCTTTGGCCATTCCAACAAGAGTTCTAGTATCATTGTCTTCTCTTAGTTTGGCTTGATTTTAAGAATGTGATAAATGGAAATTCAGTCTGAGAAAGAAGGTGATGACTGATTGTGGACAGGTAACGCTGCTCCCATCGCACAATTGTTTCAACATAATTATGCTAATTTATAACAAACCTCTTGAGTGGCCAACCTGTATTAAGCAGCCACTTGCCGGTACCTTGAAGGTGGCTGCTTAATAGAGGTTCAAACTGTATACCATTACTACATCTAAGGTTTTCGTGGCTTTGTGACGAAAAACAAAATTGTAATAGTGGCAATGTCTTCGATCTTACACTGGACATTCCAAAACAGGATGGCATGCATGATGTGACATCACCAGCTAACACTATTATGAGACAGATCTGCTGATTACTAGAGCTATACGCTAAGGGTGTTCTCTAAACAATCACCCAAATAATCTTGTTTGCCTCAAACCCTGAAACCTGCATGAGCACCAAATGTTTCTTCCCATATTTTCTGTAAACAAACCTTAAGGTGGCCCGAACCTATTTACATGCGTGTTGGTTACGTTTTTTATTTGCGTTTTTCAGAATGAAATATTCAACCGATTTCTATGATTTTTGGCATCCGTAATAAACAATAATGGAACTCTGAAAATGCAAATCAAAAACATAACCAACATGCATATAAATGGATTCGGGCCACCTTAACTATTTTAGCAGGCATCCGATCATACACATAAAGCAAAAACTAGCCATAGTCCTTTGGGTGTCCCTTTAACACAAGGTTAATTGTATCTGTACTGCAATTCTACCTAAGGATTTGCAATATCACCCAGGGGTAAGGATTAACCTGCATCCCTTCTGAAGTGTCTACATATGATGGTCTGAAGCCATTTTTAGATGGCTGGGTCAATTGAGATGAGCTGGAAATTTACGTGGGAACCATCCCTCAGAAGAAAGATATTCTTTTTTTTTATTTTACAGACTACTGCATTCTGATAGAGATGCTATTCCTGAAGTCCCTGCCATTTATTTTGTTCTCCCAACTGAAGAAAATGTCAAACGGATTTGTCAGGTTGGATTTTTTTACATTAATTTTGGGATCCATGCCTGAGATAAAGACTGTCTTTGACTTTCAATTCCTTGTCAAAGATACCCCACCCTCCCCTCCAACAATGTGAGGTACACACCACTTTAGGCTAGGCTAGACGCCATTAGTCAAAGTGACGATCAAAGCAGTGTATTACTACCTACCAATACTGTATTTTAGATGTCAGAAATAATTGTAATTCACTTATTGTTAATTTATTTTTTATCTATATTTTTAAACAGGATTGTAAGAACCAACTGTATGAGTCATATTACCTCAATTTCATTTCTGCAATTTCGAGACATCGATTGGAAGACCTTGCAACAGCAGCTCTTCAATCTAACAGTGTCACTCAAATAACTAAGGTAACACAGTTGATTTACAAAGCTTTTTGAAGGCTGTTAAGTGATTTTATTTTATGACGACAATAGTATGTGCACTCTGATTGGTTGCTAAGCCAGGAAGATTTTCTTGTAATAACCAGGTGTTACTAGCTACATGTAGTTGCCCAAAGTACGTTCAATCTGTGTTTAACTTGATAGTGGACATCCATGCTATGGTCAATTGACAGCTGTCAAAAAAGGGTCTGCTGACCAGTGTCACATGACTGTATCATGGACTGAAATGTACAACTCACTGAGGTGATGTGTTTTTTAAAGTTATCCACTGACCAATTTTTGGTTTTAATTATTGATCACAGGCTCAGGTCCAATATTTCTCATTGTCAAAGAAAGTGTCTTGTGGTTTCAATTGCCAGGTTTCATTTCAGTTCAATGAACATGACCTCAAATGACCTCTTGCGTGCTGAGGTTGAAAATTACTTTTGGTGTTTTTTATTTTATCCCTTTTAAGAATAGTGCTAAAAGGCGATGTAATAATAACTTATTAACCTCATCTGTTCGGTCATTACATGGAAATCTCAGACCTTGGCCTTGATGCATTGACCTCTCTCTTGGTTAATAAGTTGTATTTAATGCTATAAGTGTTAGAAGTAATCATCTTAAAACTAATAATAAATTTATTATGTCTTCTGTAGGTATTTGATCAATATTTAAATTATATTTCTTTGGAAGATGAAATGTTTACAGTGAGAAATCAAGACAGAGACTCAATATCCTATTATGGTAAGGTTATTAACTTGATCCATCAATTTCTGTCACTTTCTTCATTAAGAAGTCACATGGCTTATGGATGAGACTTCCTCTTTATATGGTACTGTTTTTTATTTTTTTTGCTTTTCCTTTAAATAGTATTTCTAATTAATAGTTAATAACTCGAACAGTGAACATTTTTCCTCTTCGAACGCAATTAAAGATGTGCGTTTGTTTATGTTATTTTTCAGCACTTAATAGACCTGATGCAAAGGATACAGATATTGAAATGCTGCGAGATGTTATAGTGGACAGTCTTTTTTGCGTTTTAGTGTCTTTAGGTTTGTCTTTATCATTTAAAAATAATTTAAATAATGTGCTGTGTTTTTATTGCTTAATGACGTTGCTGATAAGGACCATGTATAAACAGAGCAATGCCGATGTTTTTGCAGGTACAGTGCCAATTATAAGATGCCCTAAAGGCAATGCTGCAGAAATGGTAGCTGAGGTAATATATTTTTTCACATCTTGTAATTAGCCTGCATTGCAGCCAGACTTGTCACTTGAGGCCTGAATAGCTAGAGAACTCGTCGTAGACTGTCCATATCAGGGGTTTGGAATGTCTGCGATGCAAGCTACTTTTCGCCAGATAGGTCTGAATTCTAATGTTTTTTAGTCTGATAAACTTTGGAAAAACTAAAAATCTTTGTTTAGACTTGCATGTATCAACCAAACTTTCTACTCAGTTACGGGAGTGATAAACCCAACTGGAATGATGGATAACAGAGCAAAACATTTAAATCTCTTGGCAAATCATGTACTTGCACCATTCTGAGTAGGTTTATCATGTTGATGAGACAAAAGAAAGTTTGGTCTGTTGCTGAGGTAGCTTCATTAGGGATCCTGTTAATGGAATATAGTTATAACAGAAATTAAGGTGATAATAGTGAGAAAAAAGAGGAACAGAGTGGACCTAAAGAGATGGCACCAGTTATTCAGTTACAATTTTACTTTTAACTGAATCATTGGTGCTTTCTCGAGGCTTCAAATTAAACTTACTTCATCAGTAGGGCCAATGACAAATGATAACCAGCCAGTTAGAGTCGTTATATTCGGTTAGTTTTTATTTCCACCCGCTTTTGTCTACTTCATCAAATAAGTGAATAAATAATAATTTGCAAGGGAAATTGGGGTAATCAAAGTGTGGTTCAATTTAGTCTATTGTCACATTTTATAGGGCTTAAGAACTAGTATGATTTAAAGTTACAGGGCATGTTTGAGTAATCTTAGTCCCAGGCTGGTTGGTGTTAATGTCATTTGCCTACTGCAAAAACTTCAACAATACCAGATAAGTATCCAAAGACTGGTTAAGTCAATCAACTGAGGATGGTTAATTGTCTTTTTAGACAAGTGCAATTTACATTGACCATAAAACTCAGATGACCATGCATGTAACTGAGTTCAGTTTAGAATTTCTTTAAGGTTTTAAGTAGATAGTGTTCAAAGTTAAAGATCCACCCATCAAGGGGGTCTGGGGGCATGCTCCATGGAGAATTTTTACAAACTGAATGCCAGCCAGTACATGTACATTTTGACGATGATGTGAACTGCAGAAATACAAATTTCAAAATGAAGATATGATTGTCGCAGTGGTAATTGCAATTTTCTGAACTTTTTTGGGGGGTTTATTTACAATTGGTTAAATTGGAATTTCCACTGTGACGATCATATGTTCATTTTTATGTACATTGTACATTTTGTTTAAGCATCTTAGGCATGAAGACCTTTTTATTAGATGGGTGACATAAGCCAAAATTAAACAGTCAGAATAACGCTGATGTAAAATTGATGCATGTTTGAAGAGTAATTGAGGGCCAACAAAGCATGTATACCAAACAGTGACCTGTGCTGCTGCTTTTCTATAGGACACCAGCAAATGTCAGTAATTATTTTTCCAAAAGACCATGGTATAGTTTGTCTCAAGAATGTTAATTTAGGGTCATTGTTTTTGCTTCATTCTACCTCATAGATCAGTCATTTTTAAATAAATATAATTATGTACACATCGTCAGGCATGACTGAAACTCTTCTTTGCAAGTCTAATTCTCTTCCTCATTCATTCATAATTCTATTCCTCATTCATATTTGGAAATCCAAAAGGGTGGACAACAATGCAGCCTCAATCATTATGACTGTTCCTAAATTTTTCCTGATTCTTCATGTTATATCAGAGCTGTCAAAAAATTCTTATTTTTTTTAAGCTCAGTTTTATAGTTTAATAACCAATCAACATTGTCTCCACATTGGAAGAACTAAATAAAATTGTAGTCAGATTTTACGATCAGGAGAAAGATGGATTTTTGGTGTCATTTTTTGCTTTCAGGCCTTAGATAAAAAGTTGCGGGAAAATCTAAGAGATTCTAGAAACAGTTTATTCACAACAGATATGCCATCTGGGCAGTTCAGGTTTGTAAATGTTTGATAAAACCATGAATGTACAGATACAATGTACTATAACTGCTGTTCAGTTACCCCGATTGGCTAACTGCAGGTTTGGTAGCAGTTGGTCCCCAACCTCATCTGGACTGTTTTGTTTTCAACAAAACAGCTGCTAGATCAATTAAGTATTGGTATGGACTGAATTCTTCAATTTCAAAATGGCTGTAATAAAGTTGTGATTGAACTTCATGTCATGCAATTTTGGTCTGAAATCATACTTGTGGTTTCAAATTGAACTTGGGCTGCATGCTTGTCCGATTTTAAAATCCCGCTCATGATGTCAGACCAAATTGCGCTCCACTTAGTTCAGTTACCAATATAAATGGACTGATTAGTTGCTGCCATTGTTGCCCTTGTATGCTAACATCCAAGCTGACTGTCAATGTAAAATGGAAGAAGGACATGTATGCATGTCCTCTCATCTACACCAGCTTTCTTTTCAACCTTGAAACTTTTTTCTATGCAGAATACAGGACTCTAGAGCTTCCTGTAAAGGGCATTGTTGAATATTTGATTGAAAATCATTAGCATAACCTCTCCAAAGCTGTAGCCAGTTATTTTTTTTAGCAATTCAATATCGAAAAATGTTTGACATACATTTTATTTTCAAGAGGCACACATGAGAGATTCATAATGAAACTTTTGCAAATAACTCTCTTGCTTGCCTTTTATACTGGCCTTGGGCCTGCTTTTACAGACAAAGTTGTTACCTCTTTACCTAGTTACTTGGTATTATTATACATTGTTCTTGTTATTTGTCTTCTCATTGGCGGAGAGCCTACAGTTAATTTTGGCAATCAGTGCAACCTACAGATTAGTTGCTTATCTGTTAGCAGATTAGTGACTAATCTGTACATGTACATGTAGGTTGTGCGAGCAATGCTCTTTTTACAAGAGCAATGTCAAACTGCGTTCAATCATGCAATGCTGTGTTTGTCCTTATTTTCTTAAAAACAATCTATTATAAAACAATATTATTAGATAAATTTTTTGTAATATCTGGATTAGTCAAGGTCTCTCAAGGTAAGTGTTATCAGCCTTGGCCTTTAGTTCAGCTGATAACACTTACCGGTATCCCAACTGTATTTACTCCTGATATCACAAAACTGTTTCTTATTAGTTTTCAGCGACCAGTGTTGGTCATTTTGGATCGAAACATGGACCTGTGTACCCCGCTCCATCATACGTGGACTTACCAAGCTCTTGTACATGATGTTCTGGTAAGAGAGGGATTATTATTGATTCTGTCATGATTTACATGTACCCTTACATGTACATGTAGCTTGCTCATTCTCTTTGCAATATTTAAATGTTTTTGGTTGTGTTGAAAACATGAGAATCATTCTTCATTATTTGTAGGATTTACACCTGAACAGAGTTGTTGTAAAAGAATCAACTCCAAGTAGTGAGGAGCACACAGATCCACACCACAGGCATCCCAAGCAGACCAAAGTAAAAACATATGATCTTAGTACTACTGATAAGTTCTGGGGATCACATAAAGGAAGGTAAGCTTACCATTCCATAGGTATGACAAAAATATTTCAATCATTATCAAAACCTTTGTAATTTTACTTTTTGGTCGCACTTGGGAGTTCTTAAAATCTTGTTTAAAATAATTATTATTGCATGTCTGTGCATTCCACATCGAACTGGAATTTGGAAGTGTTTGTTTTTGAGTAATGAGGAAAACTGGAGTATCCGAAGAAAAACCTCTTGGAGCAGGAGAGAGAACCAACAACAAACTCAACCCACATACGTGTAATATGGTGGGAGGCGAGTGCTTTCACCAGTGCGCCACTTTTGCTCCCCAAAGCAACCCACTTGAAGCACTAATGTGCTACCATCCATACCATATGATAAGCATATGAATAGCACACCTGGGATCAGTGTAAGGTTCTTGAAAACTGCTCACTTACCCCTCCCCTTACCTAACATTTTGCCTGAGGGAAAAAGTTAGTGTTAATGTTCGATTAAGGGAGGGGTAGGTGGGAAGTTTCTGAGAATCTCATACTTACACCACCTCTATATCTCTCCGAAAAGAGTCACTTATTTAAAGACAATTTTCTCAGTATACTTTTTTAAAAGTTATTCACTGACAAGTTTATAACATGCAGAATTGACCCTATCTAATAAAGTACCTGGAACAATAAGTCAGTTTGGAAAATTGATTCAACCAACTAGCACTCTGTGACTGCTAAAATTCTTCAATCACATTCTTATTCCAGTCTTTCACAAGTTCCTTGTACCTAAATTTAGTTTTATAACTTTAGGATTTAGAGGAGCTAAACATCTCACGGCATTCATTAGTTTGCAGTATTGTAAATTATTATTTTGCAGTCCTTTTCCAACAGTGGCAGAGTCGATACAGAAAGAACTTGATGAATACAGAGCATCGGAAGAAGAAGTTAAAAGACTCAAACATGTTATGGTAGGGAATGTAGTAATGTTTAGTATTTTTACCATAAATGTTTAAGTAAGAACCTGTTTAAGCTAACTTAGGAAATGCAGGTTTTTACTCGTGGTTTTTGACTGTATGTCTTGCTTTCAAAGTTCTCTCTTTCTTGAGTAGGATACTAGTCAGTTGAGGTAGTTTTGATTTCATGTAATAATTATTTCTGTCAGCTTTTATGAGACTTGAATGAAGGCAACGCAAGCAACATTGTCGCAGTTAAAGACTTGAATTTTGCAGGAGCTAAAAGAAACTAGCCTGTATGGGATTCAAACCATTGAAGTTTGCCGTACCATTGCAGCACGCAACCAATTGAACTAACAAGCCAACTGGGAGCTGGTCCAGTAGTTGGTTTGATAGAAACCAATTGTTTGTTGAAGTATGAAGATGAAAAAAAAAACAACAATGAAAATGCGATTATCATATATCACAAATGCAAGATTTCATTGATGCATGCAAGTCAGTTGCAGTAAGCATATTGAAAGCATATGGTTTCATTAATGAAATGCATTTCTATTCAAACACATTTTAATAACAACAGAACATCATTCTGTTTTTGCTGCAGGGAATAGATGAAAGTAATGAGGAATCCATGGGTGAACTTCCCACTGACAGTACAGCTAAATTAACATCTGCTGTCAGGTAAACACCATTGCAAAAGGTGGATAGCGCTATCCAGTGGGGGATCTACGGGTGGGGCCCGGGCCCAGCTCTCCCCTTATTTTTAGACAGGGGCCTTTTTTTGGGAGACCGCCCTCCTCCCCTTCTCAGGGTCTGGATGACCGCCACTGCTATCCAGTGGATAAATCTATATCCATTGGTTAGTACGGTACAATTGGTTTCTCTAATACTTATCCACTAGACAGCGATTTGCCCAGGGCCTGACATAAACATTTACCAACTGCCGTCTAAAAGTGTAAAATGCACTTCTTGGGATTTTCAATGGTAGCCTTGGTGCAAGTGGTCGTAGACAATGCAGAAAAGAACATGGGAAGGCTTTGAAAATTAAATACTCCTTGTGCGGCAGCTTCTATGGAAAGTCATCTCGCCCGAAACTAGAGTCATGTCGCCCGAAATTTTTAGTCCAGTCGCCCGAAATTTTAATGAAGAGTGTATGTAATAAATCGCGTTTTTTATGCGATAATGAGGCAAAACAAGCGGAATAACAGTGTAATTACGTCTCTGATGCAATAGTGAGACGAAACAAGCGGATGTGTATCATATCCCGTTCTTCATGGGATGAAGAGACCAAACAAGCGAGTTCTTTTAGTCTTGATAAAACAAAACAAGCACGTCAAATGGGTAATATATCTTGTTCTTAAAGATTTGATTAAACAAAACAAGCGCGATTAAGATGTTAGGATGCTACTGAGCATGAGAAAATTTCTGGCGAGATAACTCTGGTTTCGGGCGATATACCTTCAGGCAAGATGACTTTTGGACGACTTGACAGTAAACCCTTGGCTACAAGGAAGAATTACAGAAGCGTTTCACCGAGCACTTTTCCCATCAAGGGTGCTGGTGGTAATAAAACTGATTTCCCTGTGTTGCACCTTCTGAATCATTGTTTGTTTATGTTACACAGTTCACTCCCAGAGCTGCTTGAGAAGAAAAGATTGATAGATATGCACACCACTATAGCAACAGCACTGCTAGATCACATTAAGGTAGGGTATGATTGTATGTGTAATGCTAGCATTAGTGCCCATCAGCTGGCACAGCATTGGCCGAGTGATTCGTGCACTATCAGCACAGTATTATTAGCGCATATTATATAAAAGATTGTATATCCAACGGCATTTTTCTTCTCTATTCCCCAAGGCAGGAAAACTTGACGTGTACTTCGAGACAGAAGAGAAAATTATGAGCAAAGCAACTCTGGTAAGTTGACAGTAACAGGTTTTTTAGTTGCAAAATAAGGACATGAGTGAAGACCCTTTTAGCGTAATACATTTAAGAAATAGTGTACAACATGATTGGTGCTCAAACAGAGTAGGTTTTTTTGACGAATGTGAATAATTATTGCATAAATTATGCAATAATTATGCACACTCGCCTCCATGGAATATTTTTTGGTGATCTTGAAATGACAAAGCGAAGACTATTATATATATTTTTACTTTTGAATTAATATTTCAGGACAAATCAATTTTGGAAATAATCCAAGATCCGGAAGGTTAGTTTGTTGGTCAGAAGAAGGGTCACACATGCAAATTAAAAATGTTGCTGCAAATTAAAAATAGTACATGCAAATTAAAAATTGTGCTGCAAATTGAAAATAGAAAACATATCGATGCAAATTGAAAATAAAAAGTCCTGCGCGTGCAGTATGAGTGATGAGGTCCTGGTCCGAGCCGTGCGACCTGGCCTTACAGCTGTCGGCCCATTCATGTTTCATGTTTGTAATATTTTTAGTTTGCATGTACAATTTTTAATTTACATGTCCTATTTTTAGTTTGCAGCAACATTTTTAATTTGCATCTGTGACCCTTCTGGGCCACCATAATTCAGTGTTGTAGATGTAAAAATTTCCAGACTCTAAAATATTCACAACAGATAAACGGAAAGTATTATTTATTCAAAAATATTTTTCTGTTTCTGATTAAATTTAGATGTGTGCTTCACGCGTGACGTCAATCGTAATATCATGAAATGACAAAGGGACGCACAGTCGTCACGCAAAGAAGCGGCGCACTAGGTCAAATTTAGACGTTGTTTGCTTTTAATTTACGATTGACGTCAATCGTACTGTTATCGAAGTACAAAGGAGCCGACAGACGTCCCTCAAATAAGCTGCGCAGTAGCTCAGCTGCTTTGGCAATGCGGAACTAGAGAAAATTAATCAGGCCGGGGAAAACCTCGGTGGATAACAGTATCCTCGATCAGCATAATTCTTTATATCATACTTAGCTTTGTTAAATAATTAGTAAAAATAATTCCCATTCACTTACTTTGCCTCGCTTCTCAAAATACTGTCGCTTTAGTAGTCTTGTAGTGTTTTACAATCGTCGTATTTCCCTGAATATTTCTGATTATACCTATTTGTTTATCCACAGCTGGTACTCCTCAAGATAAACTTCGATTATTTATTATTTACTTTATTTCTGGACCAAACATGTCACCGGTAAGTCTGTGCGATTGGTGACAGTAAGTTTCCTACCTCTGTTTAACCCATTCGTTCCTGGAAGTTTTTTCAAAACGCGTCTTCAGAATATAGCCAAACCGTTATCTTGTCACTATCAGGCCAAAACTAACCAAAACGCTGTTTATAAGTCGAGCACTTCGCAGCTTTCCGTTGTGATGCTCAAGTTCGTGCATAACAACAAAATAGCGTAACAACCCCCAACACTGTTGGACCAACAGTGTTGGGAGTTGTTGCGTCCGTGTTGGCAGTGGTGTCTAAAGGGATGCAACAACTCCCAACAATGTTGGGACCTGTAGTGCATCGTGGGAAGGATATAACCCGTAAGACTATGGAGACCATGTATAATACACGTGCCGGGCCCTAGCAATGTCGAAAGAGCTGTTCAAGCGGATCCAACATTGTTGCGCCACGTTTCGGCGATGCAGTTGTCCCTTTCCTAAACGGTCGCTGCCATGGTTAAGACACTAAAGCCCCATTTACACGGCCGAAAATTTTTGGCACGGCTCGGATGAAAAAAGTACGCGTACCAAAAACATTGGTTCGGCACGGATAGATTTAATCGTGTAAACGACTTTGGCCCATCCGTGCCGGACCAAAATTTCACCCGTGCTCGGACCATGTCGAGAGGTAGTCCGAGCACGGATAAAACTGGTACGCGATCCTGAAAATCTAGCCCAGCTCGGATAAAGTGTGCAGTGTAAACGATTAGCCGTGCCGAGCTAACTTTTCTCTGATGAGCCTTCGTGCCTTTGGTCAGCACCAATGTGGGAGAGCATGTACAGATGAGCTTTATCGTTACTTCAATATAAACCAAAAGTTCAATAAACACGACAGTAGTTCAATGATCACACGTTAGTTCATTGATGAGCGTGGACAACGTGCAGCTGCGGGGGAAATAGCCACAAATACGTTAGAATTTTTTAATATAAATGTGTAGCATTAACTAAGTGGTAAATACTTTTTCGGTAGTTCAGTGTGTTCAATAACCACACAATAATTCAATAACCGCACCAGTATTCAATGACCACCCATTTGTTCCTTGTGCGTAGACTACATGCGGCTGTGGGAATTCTAATGAACTTTTCGTCCGCCATGTTTTTACAGAGGAAGCAGCATGCGCACTAGGCAAGAATCGAGTACGCTGGCCGAGATGTTGAGCCTTTTACCCGTGCCAAATCATAATTTCACATCGTTTAGCACGGTAGAAAAAAGAACGTGTAAATGAGTAATTAGTACTATTTTTTTGGTACGCGTACCACTTTCATCCAAGCCGCGCCAAAAATTTTCTGCCGTGTAAATGGGGCTTTAGGGTGCGTTCGATTGGGAAATCCGGATTTAGATGTTCAAAATCTAAATCCGGGTTTCCCAATCGAACGCGAAATCTGAAAACGGATTTCACCTCCGGGAAATCCGTCCTCAGGATGGATTTCAATTAAGAAATCCAAATCCGGATTTTTTCCATTTCCCTTTTTGTCGTTCGATTGGGAAATCCGAAAAAGGATTTGCTAAACTGTTCTCGTGAACAGTGGACTATCTTGTGCTAATTAGGCGTACGCATAATTAGCGCAAGATAGTCGACCGTTGAAAATAGCAACGACCGTTTATGAAAGGAAAATAGGCTTCGACGATCCCGGAACAAAGGAAATGTTGGGAGTATTTGACCGATTTCAAACTTTGCACAACAACTCCCAACAAAATGCAACAACATGCAACAGGCTGTGCAAACGGACGCAACATGCAAAATCCAACAATGTTGGGAGTCTTTAGCCAGCAATGTTGTGTCCATTTGCACGGGGCTTAAGATGTCGAAGTTGTCTGTTAGCGTTAAAACGGATGACGTTACAAGCGTTACAAAAGGTTTCTAGGCAAACTCACCCTGAGTCTCTCACCCGTCTTTGTTTATTTGTTTGTTTGTATACAGGCTGAGCTGGATCAGTACTGTTCAGCCTTGTTAGAAGCCGGAGCTGACCTCACACCGTTAGACTTCATCAAGAAATGGAAGTAAGCGAAAAAAAAAAATCTTAAATGAAAGCAGGTAGCCAACCTTATAGCATTAATGATGTGAATATATCGTGTTTTCTAGAGCGTTTACCAAAATTGCCGTTGGTCCTCTTCAGTCGGGAGGCGGGGGTCAAAATACATACAGGTGAGTCTATCTTTTTCATGTACCGATAAAACATCTTACTTACCCCTGGCCATTTTTTAGCCAAGTGCGAGGCAATGGTAGGAGATTCCGAAAACGTGGCATCCAGCGTTCCTGTGTTGTTTTCATTTGTTTGTGTAGGTGGGCTATTGTTTAGAAAACTCTTATACCCGTTCCTTCGTTTTTATGTTTTCTGACTGTAATGGTCATCTCGTGATAAAATGGACCTTCAGCGACGGCAATGAAAACATCATCATTAAAAGGAGGCGTGATGTACGTGCGAAGTTGTTGTTTTTGTCATCAAACCTATTGCTTTTTTGACGTTTTGGTTGCCATCGACGTCGTGGTCCCTAAGAAGAATCAAATGAATGACAGGACGACCCCTGGATCGAAGTTACAGAACTTAGTGGTTTTAGGCTAGCTCACATTGTACGGGATGGTTCCTCTTTGCCCATGAAAAGCTGTCCCGTATAGTATTTGAACACTGTTCACACTGCGCCAATCTGAAGAGTAGCATAGAATCCTAACCAATATGTGACGATCCACTTTCAAGGTCGGCGCAGTGTTGCTTAGTCCCTTGGCCTCAATTTTTCGCGCGGCCAAAGCGTTTCGGATCACGTGGTCCAAGCGAAAATGTGCCTCGAATACGTCACCGAAGTGAATTGACCGAGAGGGACTGGGAAAACGCCATACAGGTTTCGTACAGGGACTTGGTAAGGCGCGGTGCAGCATCGCTCCTTTACAGAAACTATGCCAAAATCACGCAAAAACGCCAAAACCACGCCAAAACCTCGCCAATCAAATTGTGAACAGCAAACCTATCCGTTACGATACTTTTTCGTGCAACCCAAGAATTATCTGGAATAAAGTATACGTGGACCGGGTATTACCGTTTACCTCCGTCTTGAAAATTCGGGTATTTTACTTTTTTTCAGCGCTATGTTTTCACGGTTCATGAATACAGGATCACAGTTTGTTATGGAAGGAGTCAAGAATCTAGTTGTTGGAAACAAGGTACACGGTTTGTACGGGTCATGGAAAACCTGGAAAGTCATGAAATTTCTGGAATTTTATTACCAGTGACGGAAACTCGTGGAAAGTTAAAGTCATTAGTTACTGCAGATGTCAAAGCAAGGACAGAGAAGTATAGAGACAAGTAATTAACCAGCATGATCGGCATTTTGGTGAACACCAGAGTTTGTGTCAGTTGAACTGAGTTAGGTAAAAAAAATACCTCAAAACAAGAATAGTTTTGAAACTTATTGTAACGTAAGGCCATGGAAAACTGGAAAATGTGATGAAAAAAAGTTATGGAAAGTTATGCGATTTGAAACGCTAAAAAAAAAAGAACCCTGAACGACTAAAGGTTGTTAATGCGAGTAGTGAAAACGCTGCGTGGAAGATGTTCAGATTTTTATTTCTCGCTGAATCTTTTTTCGTAGAATTTACCTGTGACTCGCATCGTAGACGCGCTGATGGACAATAAGTCAAATCCGGTAGGCAAGAATTCATTTGTTTTAGTATCCTAATTGAAATTCTTGGCGATTTTAACTGTAAAGTCAGGTCATTTCGATGACTATCTTTAAATCTGTGAAAGAAATCTCATCTTGTGACCATTAAGATGAAAGCTATCAGAGAGGATAAGCATCACGTTAACTTCAAACGGCAAACGCAAATTTGTACCACGTGACCAAGTTTCATCTTTACTTGTCGTTTACTGTTCATTATTTCTACACATAAATTAGAAGTTTCATGCAATTTTTTATCCATAAGAATTGTTTTGAGCTTTTTTTTTCTGCTCATTTTCTATTTTGACAAATTCTCACTTGAATCTGACGTTTGCCATTTGCCGTATATGTGAAGCTGAAACTCTTATTTAAACAGTAGTTTCCAGTGGTGCTTTTAATTATGCTGTACCAGGTGGTTCTAACTTCAGAATCAGGATGAAATCTTGAAGTGTAACCATTCAAATGAAAGCTACTGAGCAGTTCTTTTCCGTGGTACTGTTTATTATGCTGTACTAGGTGGTTCTAACGTTTGAGTGTGTGGATGAAATCATGAAGCGTGACCATTTAAATGAAAGCTTCTAAGCAGTACTTTTCCATGATGGTGTGACTATTCAAATGAAAACTTCTAAGCAGTCCTTTTTTATGGTGCTGTTCATTATGCTGTACAAGGTGGTTTCAACTTCAGAGTCTGGAGGAGATCTTGAAGTGTAACCATTCAAGTAAAACCTACATGTACTGAGTAGTCTGTGGATGGAACCCAAGTTTGATGATTCAGTTTAAGCTATTCAGCAGATTTATTCCATGATTCCTTTTTTTGTTCGAATGTAATCTATTAAAGCGGTGCGATACTACTTTTTCAGGAAGTTGAAGATTACAGATATTTTGATCCAAAGATGCTACGGGTAACAGATAGGTGTGGATTTTTCTTATATTACATGTTTTGCTTTTCATACCATTAAATTACAATAGAATTATTCAGATTACCAATGATGGTAGGATAAAACATTGTGCTAAATCTTGTGGTGAGTAAACGAGAAAGATAAAAAGAGTCATTGAATCCTGAGGAGTACTCAACAAAGTTTTATACGGGGAGGCTCCACCCCAAGGTCCGAGCCCCTGCCCTTTGACTGGAAAGGGACCCCTTTTGTTGACTCTCTCCTTCCTCTCATTTTTGCCTCGTCGTGAGACACCTCTGCTAGCAGGGAACCCTTTCGTATCCCTGTCATTGAAAAATGAAAATTAGAACGTTGTCTCGACTTTTTCACAACCATAAAACGCATCTGTAAGCGCTTTTAGGCATTTTACAGACTGAAATGAAAAATTTCCCTACACTTTCAAATACATCAACTGTTTAAATCCCTGCCCTTTCATATACCGTAAAATTACGAAAATAAGCCCCTCCATGTATAAGTCCCTCCGATTATAAGCCCCTCAAACTCGTAACGCAAAAAACCCTCTGTTAAATCGCCCCTCCAAATATAAGCACCCCCGAGGGGGGGGGGGGGGGGCTTGTTCTTGGGAATTGCCCTCAAATACAAAGTAAAAGAAAGCAAAAACGGTAAATTTCCTCCCAACTATACGGCTGGCCCAATCGATTTTGAAATGCAAATTTGACGTGCTTACACACGTTTTCCCGCCTATAATGCAGAAAGCACATATTTGCTTTAGCCTCTGATTGGTTCGTTAGATTATTGTCCTGTGTTGTGATTGGTCATTCTTCAAAAGCCCTAAAGTCAAGTGACACTGAAAATCACGGTCACCGTATTTCAACTGGTGTATTTCTATGTGTTTTACAGTATGTCTATACCACGAAACAAGACGCCTTTTAGCGAGGTAAGATAATTTGATACTCAAAGGTGTTGACCCCTGTTGTTTTAATCGAGTCTATTAGAATGATCGTGTCTAGCTGTAGGCTCTCTCAGCACTTTTCAAATTAGGAGCGGGGTTTCATTTCCCGAACATCGGTTGGTAATATCGTTACTTTACAGAAGTTGAATTGTCCATCTTCATAATTGTAAAAAAAGAGAAAAAAACACCGGGGCAAAAATCTTCAGAGTTGTTCAAAAAGGAAATACGTCTAACTGTTGCGTCTTCTGCCAGAGAACGTGTCGCTAGCGCTAGAACGGCGAACGCCCCACTGACTTTTCCTAAGAACAGTGAAATTTTATAGTTCTGTGGTTTTTATTATTTATTCAAAATATTCCTCGGCCAATCCTTCATAACCAGCTAGCGTTGACCAAATTTGGAAGATGTTTGAGGATTGAGGTCAGCCATGTTGATATCGGCTGTAAAAGGGACGCACAAGCAAATGGTTCGGTGGCCAAGCTGCTTTGGAGGTACAGAGCTGAAGAACATGGCGGAAATTTTCACTCTTTGTGTGAAGCCGAACTTCGCCTCAAGAACGTAGCGAGAATAGACAAAAAATACCACGCGACCGATGGCAACTGCTATATGAAAATTATCTGCCAAAAATAAAGTACCCTTCATATCCTGAATCTGCCGAACTTTGGAACTTAATAAAGAGGCAAGCAATTTAGCTTGTTCTGGGCTTGGAAATATTTGAATGAATAATGACACCCCTCTCGATCTGCATAATTCTCCATATCATACTCAACTTCATCCAATAATTGCTAACAAAATATTTTGCCATATTCTTGGTAGGCGATTGTGTTTATAGTTGGAGGTGGAAATTACATCGAATACCAGAATCTGATGGACTACAGTAAGGTGTGTTACGTTCAAATGCTAGTCGGACAGTAAATAATAAATAGTAGATGATGCCCGAGGAGCTAAAAGAACGCCCAGGTACTCAATACGCATTTCAGCTCTTATTGGTCAACATTTTGGAAAAAAAAAACTATAAATTATGTAATTTACCAAATCACAACATAGTTCGGGGTATCTTAAATCACAAGTAGCCTTGCTGTATTAAAGTTTAAAAGTTGAAAAACCCTTGAAAATTCTTGTTCTAAAAAAAGATCTCCAAAATTTCACCATTTCTTGGAAGTTACGTCTCTTCTTTATCATTTCTTCATATTTTCATTTCAGAGACACTCCGGTGGAAAGAAACTTCTTTATGGTGCAAGTGAGGTCATGAATGCATCCCAGTTCCTTAAACAGGTTAGTTTATCAGTAGATTATATAAGAGACAACTTCCGAAAATTGTTGAGAAACGTTCCACAATAAATCTTCTTCACTAGTCAGCGTGCTGTATCAGAAATAAGGTACCGTGTCTGTTAAGAAGTTTTCAAGTGCCCTTTAAGGCTACAGTTATATGCGGGTCTTGAATGTTGCAATTTCGGAAACTGCGTACTTTGAGATTTTGCAAAGATCTGGTTGCAAATAGAATAAATTTCGCAAATGCAAATTACTGCGAGAACTAAATTTTCAGGGTTGGCTGATCAATGGGAAAAATCCGCAAGGATACGTTAATCCTTTGAACGCTGGGCGAATTTATTTCTATTTTTTATCAACAACGTAGATGCAATTTAACAACAATACGATAAAAGTCTTTTCACGATTTGAGCAACTTCAAGTTGCATGTTTAGCTAAAATTTCGGGGATCTTATACACTTGTTAACTTTGAACATTGTTTAGTTTACTCTCAACTATTTTTACAAATGGATTAAGATTAAAATCGAAAGCTGTAAGTTCATATATCATGCCTAGAATTGCACTGGGGCCCTGTTTAACGGTCTCTCCTCTTTCAGTCAGTAGGGAGCTTAACGAACAACGACGGCTACGAAAACGTCACTTAAAAAGTGCATTCGCAAACTTTATCGCGCTTATTCCATCTCGTTTAATTCGTCAAATGTTGGCAAATTTTGGGGGAGTTGAATTCTAAAGGACTGTATCAAAGTTTAGGAAAAGAAAAAGAAAGTTGTTGTCTTCTGTTCCGTCCTTGACAAAACGTGAAATTAGGCACTTTCACGTTGTAGTCGTGCAATGACGGCAAAGAAATGTACAAAAAAGCGTGATGCACGTGCAAAGTTGTTGTTTTGCTACTATAAACCTATTGCTTATTTGCTGTTCCTGTTGCCGTCGCCGTCGTCGTTGCTTAAGCTCCCTACTAGTAAAAGAATGGGAAACTTTTCTTCCCGGATTTTCTTAAAAGAGAAGAAGGATGGAAAGATGGGAAGTGTGGCTGTCCGCAGCCTTTTATTGGCTAAATAGAGAGAGAACTTTCACTTTAAGCCCCCAATATCCAGGCACAAATTCTCCTTACTCATCTCGCCACATTTTCTTGATAAATAAGTTGAGAGAATAGACCTTATAACGGGTTTAGAAGCCATCTTGACGAGTAGGCAACCGCGTCAGAAATTATAGTGTTTGTACGAGAATCTAATGTCGAATAATTTCCGTAAAAGAACTGTCCTGAAAAAAATCATGAATTGTAAACTAAAGCCTCACTCTTAACGTTTCTACTAAAAAATTGGAGGGCGTTACGTGTAGCTACATACGCTAGTACCACTTTTTAAAATTTTCTATACATTTGTCTGTGAAAAATATCTCTTCCTGCCGACTAAAATTTCCCGGGAAAAATTGCAGACAAATATATGGAAATCTAAAGCAAGCGTCTGGAGGAATTTAAGCACAGTTACCGCTCCCAAAATTTGTTAGTAAAATCCTCTGCTGTGTAGCTTTAGTTTACATTTCACATTTTTCTCAGAACAGCCGTTTTACGGAAATTATTCGACATTAGATTCTTATACAAACACTGTAATTTCTCACGCGGTTGCCTTCTCGTCAAGATGGCTTCCAGAACCGTGACAAGGTCTATTATAAAAGGTCCTGTTGGTGATCATTTTATTGATTCTCAGAACATTTTTTGACGTGAGGAGAAAGTTGATGTTGGTCGCTCTTGGGACCTCCAAGTGTTAAGGGCTGATGGTAAAAATCAGAATTATTAACGGCGCTATCCTTTCTGTTTACAGTTGGCACATATTGCTCAAGATTCGTCTTAACACGTGAGCGACCAACGGAATTCAACGCCGAGCAAACCTCAGGGTTCGATGTTCCGTTCAGAGCTAAAATGTTCATCACCAGAAATGAAGAGGATAGAATTTATTTATGAAATGCCGACGATAAGGGATCTCTGTAGTGAGGTTCTCTTAGCTAAGTCTCCCTTCAGGAGATTGAAGACTTCATTGAATAAGCAACAAGAATAAAAGATAAATTTGTAGATAGTGAAGGTCTGACACGTTCTGTGGGCTAGTTTCTAGTGCAGTTACCTGCAGTACAAACCACGTTAAACGTGAGGTTCAAAGATTGCACTTGTGTTCCTTCAAAGAAGTGATTTTTAATTTGAACTCTTTGTACTCATACCAATGATCTTTTCCAATAACATATTTCTCTCCACTCCACTGTAAGATCCGAATATCTTGATCATTGTATAGAAGGTCTCAAAATAAAAGAATATATCAAAACGAATGTAAGAAAATACTTGTTTAGATCGTGTGGCAGATGCTAGAGGGGAAAGGAGAAATTCGCGTACACGCGATTAATTTTGTCTCCCTCTTTACTCTATGACGCCTGCAATGCGGAGTAATGCTCATCTGTTATGAACTGAATTAGAAAAAAAGTGAAAATTGTTTCCCAAGAGTGCAGTTTTAATTATTATTTTTGTCTAAGTTACAATAAACTCCTGAGAGGTGTCCTCCTCACAGCGAGGTCTAAATAGGAATGTTTCGTAATTGAGAGCAAATTTCAAGAGTAAGTAGAGAAATCAGCCTCCTTGTACTTCTGCAATTTTTAATGACTGTCCTCTATTTATTTTTTTCGTCATGGTATCTCCTCTTCTATCTGTTGCTCTAACTAATAAATATTCTTCAATTAAAATTTCTCATTTTTTGTATTCTCCGTTCCTACACATAATCTGACGCAACGATCCACGAGTCATTTGACATGTTCTGCCCATGTATCATGCCTCGAATGAAAACCTTAAAAATAACCTTCTGCAGAACACTAAAAATCGACACTACATGAAAGTCCTGTTGACAAGGTTTCGTTTATGATTACAGCACAGAAGAGGTAGTTCAGTTCACAGTCTCGACAATAGGGAGATGGGGTTGTTTGGTCCCATCTTAAACAGATGTAAGTAAAGCTCTGCTTATTATCTTCATATGGTACACAAAGTAGGTCATAACTTGCCAAGTCCCTGAGCGGCGTCTTTCCAGGCCTTGTAGGTCAATGCATTTCGGTGACATATCCTCGGACCACGTGACCAGAAACGCATATGCCGCGCGGAATAATGAGGCCTGGGGACCAGGCAAGGTCATCACCATCAAGGTCGTCATGATTCAGGATACAAAACTTCAGCCCTTGATGACTAATGCGACTACATCCTGCGGTAAACCCATTTGCTCATTGTCCTTTGGAGAGATGAGTATGGCTTCTGCTGGCGAGGAAACTGGCTGGTTTTTTGGGTCACTCCACATCTTGTTCGTCGCTAGAGAAGAAATTTGATAGATTCTGCCAGTCCTGAGGTGAGAGGATAGTCTGGTGATTCTTCTGGTGTCACATTGATGACAACACGCAAAAGATCCACTGTATGAGAAAGAGGCACCGTGCGACAGACAAGCTTGGACGGGTCCTGGAAACAGCAAAATAAAAGGTAACGGGTCAAACAGCTTACTGACGGATTATTAACCTGCGTGGCAGCCGGTGGTGGTGGTGGGGGGTGGTCAGGAGCCCATAACTCGAAGAGAGCAACTCCCTTACTAGACCTATGTCACGACGTTTTACGGACCAGTTTATTTTTAGACACATTTTAGGGCCCTTCATCCCGCGAAAATAGAATCTCCACCATGTCTATAAGCGCATTCGAAGTATACGATATCAAAAAGGAAAACTAAACGTTATTAAAAGGAAAAAAATATCATTTTTAGGTCTGCAGCTTTTGCTGACTGGTTTGTGGAATTCAAAAGATATTCAAATCGGCGCCAAACCCGTTCTAAAAATAAACTGGTCCGTGAAAATGCTGTGACACGAGAGCATGGAAGTTGCTCGCTCCGGGTTATGGGCTCCTGGGTGGTAGAGTTCCGCTTTCTTCTTCAATCGCGTTCTTAAATTCCCCTTACCTTTCGAAAGCCTCTTATGCATGATGATGTATAATGAGTTCAAACGTGCATCCAGTGCAGACACAGTGATTTTTTATGCAAGATTAAGAACATACAGTGGGGTAGAACTACGATCAAGTCATTCTCCACCTACATGTTGATCCTACAGCAGTAGTATATTAGGGACATTAACCAACGACGATGACGACAGTAGTGAAAACGTCGCTAAAAAATAATAATTTGTGAGCTTTCAAACTTTATCGCGTCTATTTGAACCCACTTATCTTGTCAAATCCTGGAGTTGAATTCTTGAGGACTTTACCAAGGTTCAAAAAGAGAGGAGATATGTATATGAAATATAGTCGTATGTTCACGTCCTTCATAAATCACCGCATTAGGAGGTTTCACGTTTAATGTCGTGCAGTGGAAATCGGATGAAAAACTGCTCAAAAAAAAAAAAAATTTCTGCACGTGCATTTTGTTTGAGAAGAAATATCAAACGTCGGATAACGCTATCCACTGGATAAATCACCTCGATCCAGCGGATAACGTAATTGATTTCCGTCGTATTTTTAGCCGCTCGATAGTTTTATCCGGTGGATAAACACTGCGTCTCATGATTGATATATTACACCCAATATAGTCGCAATTTCATTTCCTTCATAAATCACCGCATTAGGATTTCAGTGTATTTATCCGTGGACGTCAAACTGAAATTTAAAAAAAAACGTTTGAACAACCAGGGCCTGTTGTTTTGCTCATAAAACCCATTGTTTTTTGACGTTGCCGTTGTTGCCGTCGTGGTGGTTGCTTAAGCTTTTAATTTTCGTACTTAAAGACGGACGTTTCAATTATCAGCTGTTTGCTCTTTCCTCTGATAAACATACTCGGAAGATATCTGACTTGTATGTAGCGTTGGAGAATTAACCACAAATAATAACAAAACATATCACTCCACATTACTTGTGATTTGATCCAGCTGCTGATCTGTGTCGGCAGGCGAGACAGGCGACCTGCGCGCTCGCTGGACTCAGAGGCGTTCAGGATTACATGTGCTAACCGCTGTCCCACAATTCTCAAAAGCTGCGAGCTCAAAGACCGCTGATCGTGGACAGAAAACATGCTCTGTAGGTGAGAAGAAAATAAAGAAGCAATTTGTAACCAGTGAATGCTGACGTTACCTTATACAAGGAAGCACAGACATTTTAATTACCTCTCTTGCGAGCTCATCAAAACCAGCTGAGTACAACTCACGGACAAAATGACGTTTCAAGGGGTCACTGTCCATCCCAAACTGCTCTGCAAGCTTATAAACTACCGCTGGCCAGTCATTATTGGAGACACCTGCCTTCATTCTTGAAGTGTCATTATCACTATCCTCTCGTCTGAGCACTGGGTGGGGAGACTGGGTTGACAGAGAACTTACCGCGAAGGTCAGGGACCGAGTAAGGAACTATAAAAAAGAAGTACATCGTTTCAAAGGCCGCGCTTGACTTTAAATTTTCTAAACAGAAGTGTAAGGAAAATATTTCTTGTTTTCAAAGATGGTTTACCTTTTCTCTTGATTCAGTAATAGCTTTGTCGACGTCCTCGGCTGAAGATAGAGGTCGAAAAGTGCTTAGATCACGCATAAAGGATTCTTTGCTCTGCAAAAGCAACACAAGCAACAAATTAAATACCGTAAAATTCCGAAAATAAGCCCCGGGGCTTATATTTTTCAAAGGCCCTTTTTGAGGGGCTTATTTTTTATAGCTGGAAGTAAATTTACCGTGTTTGCTTTGTTTTACTTTGTATTTGAGGGCAATTTCCCAGTACAAGCCCCCGGGGGGGCTTATATTTGGAGGGGCGATTTAACTGAGGGTTTTTTGCGTTACGAGTTTGGGGGGCTTATATTTGGAGGGGCTTATACATGGAGGGGATTGTTTTCGGAATTTTACGGTAAACCAACGCTTAACCCTCTACCGTAAAACCCTTCTTATGGAACCTATAATTATAATCATCCAATTTAGCCTCACCAAACAAACAATTTCCGCTCAGATGCTAACAAATCATAGCGCATAAGCTTGGGTACCTTTATCACATGATCAAGGTTTGTTACGCGATCACAGCTGAGTTAAACGACAAAATGACCAAGAACAAAACTTATTCTCTCTTGAGGTTTGGTACCTGACATTGGATTTCTAATAATGGCTTTTTTTTCTCCTTTTAGATTGTTGTCTGTCCTTGGCATAACCATCAGAACGAGTGCATACGATCGGAATCTTTCAGGTTCCGACGTGGAATAAGAGGGTTTGTTTCGGACTCTGAGGGGTAACGTTTCGTTAAGTATGAGTGATGCGTTTAACAGGGTCAGGAAACATTATGTTTCGATGTTTACCGTGGTATTGAAAAGAGAGAGTGGTTTAACACTTTTCATTTCCTGACCCATGATTATCCACAAAACAGTGACCAACTTTGCGTGGAGCGCAACCAACGGTGCATTACTTCTTGACTGCTCCTGAGCCTCCTCTATAATGGACCTGACATTCCTGAAAATCAAAGAAAATCAGTATTGACCGTCTCGCTTCACGAGTCATTATAGTTAAGCTGACAATCACCGCGGAAAGTACCCAACGATATATATACGTAGCCGTTACGACACCTGAGGGAGGTTATCCTTATATTACGATGCCTCCTTACAGATAACCCACCCAGCCCAGGAAAGGCTGGCCACACCCCCGGGGTTTATGTCCCCTGCTCTTTTCGAACAGTGTTGTGGGTTCTTTTACGTCCAACAAGAACCAGATAAGGGAAAATGCTGTGAGAGGGGACCTACGGTTTTCGTCCTTATCCCAAAGTACTAGAAAGTCTAACCGTTTGCAGGTATCATTACAAAGGCTGCACTTTCTTCTCAGTTGTTTAAAGGACCCTGAGTGTTGGTCCGGCCGGGGTTTGAACCCGCGACCTTCCGCTCTCTCCCAACTGAGCTGACCAAGAGGTTCGTCAAGATACTGGGAACTTTCCACCTACGTTTCTCCCGCGTGCCAGAAATCCTCCGTTTCCGGTGAAATAATCTCAGAATCATTCCAATCAATCTATCATTGTAGAACAAAAGAAGGCATTTTAACCATAACAGGAAAGCAAAGGAATAAAAAAGTTAAAAAGACCAAGCAAAACCTTTTGTGTATCAAAGCCACCAAATATTTGTAAGTGTTATTCTTTGCTAAGACGCGATTTTATCTTTTCTTATGCAAGGCATTGAATTTGTTTTTTATTCCTGTATTTTCTATCATAGGGTTTCCTGTTTAAGCTGGTTCAAATCCTGTGAAGATCCTGAAAAGAACGCTAGACTACTTGAGCCTTGACACAGCTGTATGGAAATGGGACGTTGTACAACCACGTCGAACCGTTAACCCCCACCCACCACCCCGACTCTCTTATGCAGCTACGACCAAATTTAGACATCTACGCGCTGAGAAACAACTTTGAGCAAAATAATCAGTTTCGGGAAAAAGAAATATCGGACTAATATCCTACGAACCGACTCGCGCAAACTACCCAAAAACCATTAAATCATAAGCAAGAGATAGAAAGTTTACCTTGATTATCAGTTCCAGAAGCTGTATGGTGGCCTTCATGAACTGCTCCAGAGCACCATAACTTAAATCTACAGTCTACAAGAGATGGCGTTTAAAGATTTAACAAACGAGATGGTCAAGAAGTCCGTTCGATATATGAGTGCTTATCTGTGGAACAATTTAGATAATGATACGAGAAAAATTACCTGTTTAGAAAATCTTTAACACTCTGTTAAAAATTGCTTTCTGGATTTTATGCATTGTAAAGTACTATTGGTAGTTTTTAATCCCTTTTTAGCTTTTATATTTTTAGTTCTTAATTATGTAAATAGTTTTTATTACTTTTTAATTTTTCACAAGACCACATCAGCGTTGCTATAATCTTACCGTGTACAAATAAATGCCGTTTACTTACTTACTTACTAACGATTCTTCGGAAACGTTCACACGGCATTGGACGTTTTTTCGGCAAGTTGAAAATTCGTGCGTTTAGGTGTTCCATCCACACGGAACCACCTTAACCGTACGAAAATATAGACGTTCAAGGTTCGTGTAAACAGAGCAGAAATATTGAACCGTCCCGTGTGGAAGTGTCCGGTCAAATTTGTTAGCCGAAAATTTGTTCGATGCCGTGTGAACGAATCCTTATGCCCCGTTTAGACGCCGAACTTTTCATGAGCCGAACCTAATTCGAATTAAGGCCGACCCAAACTATTTAAACCGACTGAATTGATTCAGACGCCGATCTTAATTCCAGCCGAACTACGTTCAAAAGGAGAAAATGTTGGTCAAAATGCTTGCAAAATCCGTTATTATAATTTATGCATTAGGTTCGGTACCTGAAAAGTTCGGCGTCTGAATCAAAGCCGTTCTTAAGTCAGAATTCTCGGCTGGGCTAGGCGTGAAGAACGGCTGAGTCGTCTGAATTGAAATAGGCATTCCTAATTGACTCAGACGCGAAACTTTTTATGTACTTAATTAAAAGATCGGCGTCTGAACCGGGCCTTAGTTGCAGTCCAGTGGCATGGTAATTCAATCTCTCACAAACTGTGTGTGTGAATAAACCATTGTTTTTAATCAATAAGTAGAATATCAAGTAACAGACGTGTTCAACAGATATTTGTAGTAAGGATACTAACCTTTCGACAGAGTCGATCTTTCGGTGCTTTGCCAACCTGAGCAGATCAAAACACACCATATAAATAACAAAACAATCAATGCTGTTTTTCTTTGAAAACCTGTCGATGTTTTCATCGATCTTTACCCGTGATTCTTGTCCCTCTTTTAAGTTAGTCAGCAACGCGGGTCGAGTTTTCATTAGCATTGCAAACATTTCCGAAAATTTTGAGGAAAATGCTCTAAGGATCTACGACTTTTCCGTTGCTCTTGCAAAGTTTCCCGAAGACCTGCGACTTACTTTACGTGGAGAATACAGGCTCAAATGGTAACCAGCGGGAACTGGGATTTACGTAAAACTAACTCGCCACCAGTCTCCACGTAGCTCAACACCAAGAACGTCCTATCGTTTCCAGGGAGGTCATGGGTTCTATTCTCGACGGATTCTACAGACGTTCTTGGTTTAACTCCGAAACTTGAGCAAATAAGGTTTTTTGTCTTGTTTCCAAATATTCATTGCAGCTCTATTCTACGTTACTATATTTTGCTGATTATTAATCAACAAACCTTTTCCATCAACATCACAGTGGCTGACACCTTTTCTTTAAAATATCGTTTCCATAACGTGATGGCAAGACCTAAAGAAGCCATAACAAAGTCATGAAGAATACAACAAATCGTCTATTAAGGCCCCCTTCGCTCTAAGCCTTCTTCCAACCCTTCCCACCTCTTCTTCTCAAATGATAGACTGCATTAATTAATCAGGATTTTAACATTTCATGAGCACTGATCCGGGGGGGGCTTAATAGAGGATTTACGGTATGTAATAATAGACAGAAGCAATGAAAAAGTGAATAATTTCAACAAACCATGCTGAAGAACAGAGCAGTGTATACAGCTTAGGTGTTCCAGTGCAAGAAATAACTTTCCAGTCTCCTGAAATTGAAAATGGAGTAGACAGTAATATGCATTTGATTTAGCAAATAATGCTGGAAGTTACAAAGAAAAGTGTTATTTGCAACAACTACATGTAAAGACAGAGAAAATTTGCCTTAGCCAGTGAGATTTCAATGCAAAAACTGACATGATTGATTGGTGTCAAACGCGAGAAAAATCTTGTACCTGATATATGAACGCGCGAAAACAAGAAAACGACGCTATTTTCGAAAAGAATGCAAATGTTGCTGGTCGCGGGAAAAATGTGTTACGCGTGACAGGCCCTAAAAAAGGCTTTAACTGCTAGATGGCTATTTTACGTCACAACCCTTCGACCAATCAGCCGCTTTTAAGCCCTGTCGTTACGCGTGCCTAACGCCATAATAAAAGTATTCTGCGTGTAGGCCAAGTTATCTTTGGCTGTTTCTAACAGTAAGTTGGTCATGGAGAACATGGCGCTAAATTATTAAACATACTTCTTTGTTGGATTGCCAGTATGACAAACATTCCATAACACAGTGACTCCACAGTACATCATGATTTAGACTATTTGCAAACCTTAGTCGAAGTTCATCAAGACCTGAAACACATAAAATCTTGTTCAGAAAATTAATGCTTAACTTAAACACTTTGTTTGGGTAGGATGCTAGCTTATTACGAGAAAGTGTTTAAAGTTTCCTAATAGAACCATAAGGTGAGTCGTAAAGTAACTCCTCTTCTGCCAACGTGTGGGATCCAATTTGTTTGATTAAACACCGCGCTGTTAATTATATTTTTTGCGTTTCCTATAGGAGACATCACCGTTTACAAACATTGTTTGTGTTATTCAAATTTGTAACAAGTGAAAGAAAAGAATCTTTTGATACAAGAACTACTGCGCTTCTGGTTGGCACATTGATATCAATAGGTGACGTCAGCATGAGTTGCGGGCGGAGTTAAGTTACAAAGTCTCAGTTTTTTGCTGAGATAGAATCGTAGTTGTCTGGATAGTGTAGATTACAAAGTTGTACTGAGTTTTTTTTTTTCACAAATTCTTTGACAATACTGATTGGATTCAGCGCTTAATCGAGTAAATACGGTAAGGCAAAATGCGAGGATTGTAAACACATTAAAAAGGGCAACGCGTCAACGTAAAACAAAGAAACAAACAAACCTTCCAGCTCGGTGTTAGTCTGAGGTTCGGGCTCCATCTCGGGACGATCGTCGTCTCCAGTCTCGCTCTGCAGTTCTTCCTCCGTCTTCCGAGCTGCGCATGCGCGCACTGGTCCCAGATTTCTGGCTGGTATCTCGTACTGTATGAGGTATCTTGATAGCACTTTAGAAGCTGCACCATAACCAGAACTTAGGAAACCTATGAAGGGAGAGTTGATAGTCAACTACTGAATAAGGTTGACAGTTATACATTTACAAATGGAGATCTTTAGATTCGAGCTCCAGGACTTAAAGTTTTTCTTTTCGCGTATTTTAAAAAAAAAAACTCTCCGGAAAGCTTTATTTTATTCATTTCTTTTCACCAGAAAAATTAAAACGGTTATTTCTATTGAAGGAGGTTAAGCCCTCTCCTGATCTGCGAAAAGTGATAAAGCTTCTAACACTGGATAACGTGTTTCCGTCACTACGACATTTTGGCTAAGAACCGTACTAGAATCACTTTTCCCACCAAAATAAAGCTGGGTTCACGCGCGTGCATCACTTAATGTTGAGAAAATATCGTTCTCGTAGTCGTAGAATCTGAAGGTCTCTAATATCAGTAAGAAGACGAACTCTTGACCACGCTTTATTTCGTTCAAGTTGAATCTCAGCTTCTGTACTTTTTGTCAGTAAGACAGACAAAACTGCAGGCGACTCTTAACCACCCTACAACGCAGAGGTGGTGAAGTACCTGGTTAATACAGCAAGATGACTTTCTTTTCTCAGCATACTCATTTCTCTTTACCCCTGTAGCCCAGGCGTTTGTCAGAAAAGTATTGAGTGACAAATTAAGATCATTTTATAATTCCATTAACAGAAGCAAACCTCACCAACTACAGAGACTCTAAGCGACCCATTGTTATCTCCCGCCTGTTTTCCCTTACTGCTTTGCGTTGCTAGGTTACCAATAAAGCCCGCTAGAGCCTGCAAATCACTCAGCTGACACACTAACAGATTCCACCGTTCAATCTCCACGGAGACGGATATCCAGTCCCCCGCGGCCAGCTCCTCCCGGTCGGCTTCCTCGATTTCTCCCTGCGATAACAGAACAAAATATCAGTGTTGTTAGATGGCGTGTTATTAGGGATCTTAAGCAACCACGACGGCGGCGATGGCAATGACAACGAGAACGTCAAAAGAACAATAGGTCTATGAGGCAAAACAACAATTTTACACATGTATCACGCTTTTTTGCCGTCACTGCACGACTTCGACGTGAAAAATGCCTAATTACACGTTTTATGGAGGACGTGAACAAGGGACGACGAATTTTTCTTTCCCTTTCTAAACTTGATTGCGGTCCACAAGAAATCAACTCCAGGGAAATAGTCCTTCATTTGACTTTTTCAGCGAATTGGAATAAACGCGACAAACTTTGAAAAACACGAATTCAAGTAAACAGTGACGTTTTCGCTGCCGTCGCCGTCGTCGTCGATTATAGCTCCCTATTGTGACGGGGTTGGGAGAATTGTCGATTGGTGCCGTTATATCTGCTCCACCTAAAATGTTGTGTCCCATTTTTTAAAATGTTTTAACATGACTATTTTTGCAATAAGACAATTGTGATAAGCAGACGGGGAATAAACCACAATTTTACTTTTGATCAAGTTTATCGCCTACACACTAGCAACAAACTTCCCTGTCAACTTTTAAGTACCTTTTTCGTCACTACTGTTAAGTTCTAACCATAACAGTCACTTTTCATCAAATCTTGGGTACTCCCTTTAAGGGAAGGATATCATAGAAGAGTTTCACTTTCTCAAAACATAATTGAGTATAATTGGTGATGCACTGAGTCTTGCCAAAAGGTTCTGAGTTTCACAGTTAAGGACCACTACATACCTCTACCTTCCTAGATGCTGTGCTGATCTCCATGGCAACAGCTCGGCAGACAGCAGCAAAAGATAGCGCTCTGCTCGTCACGGTGGACTGGGCTAGAGTGTGACGTATATTCTCCCACCATAACGAGACATTATTGTCATGTGACTGGCCTCTTTCACTCGGTAGACCACCTTATAGATATTCAGAAAAGGAGTATGGGATCAATTTAGGTTCCTGGGAACCTGCCCACCTTCCCCTCCCCTAATTCAACGTTAACATTTGCGTAGTATCACAATCGCAAAGAAAACAACCTTTCACGACTTCCACGTTTTTACAAATAAAAGATCAGTTAGCAACATCCGTCGACAATGTTGCAAAGAGCGCCTTAGAATTAATAAACTTGCCAAGTATGGAAGTGACACTGAATCAGCGAGCAAAAATAAAGCTCCGCAAAGCTGACAGAGGTTCGCAGACGTTTGTACGGCCAGCGGTAAGTTTGTGCCTCTTACTATACAAACGGCTGTAAAATTTCGCGACTTTGAGGAGGCAAATCTTCGTTAGTTTTCCACAAATCATTTTCAAAATTGACAATTGTACTATTCTCACTGCATACACAATTGGCCCGTGACACAGGAGATAAGAAACTCCATTAAATTCTGTCGTGTTGGGCCTGCGCGCTGGTGGCATGTTGCATTACGGCACTTGGTTAGAATGGCTTGGTTTTTGCCTGCCTCTTGGCCAGTTCAACCGAGTTCAGTGGAAGTGACTTCAAAGTTTCGCCCCTCCCACCTCCCCTAGTGGCGGTTGACGTCACATACCCTCATTATTCGGCATGCCTATTGTCCAGGCAGTCGCGGTTTCGGCTCATAGTTCCCCGTGACGGGACAATGGATAAGCGCTGCGAATATTATTATTATTATTATTATTATTATTATATCTGACATTGACATTACATCGGAAAGTGCGCAAGCCAGAATTTAAGTAGTAACTTTTTATCAGTTTGAATTATTATTTTTAAATAGTTTTTATTTTTTTTATCAACTTTTTGATCCTTTTTATAATTGTTATTAGTAGTCTTTAGATAGTCATTTTACAACAATTCTCTTTCGTAGACAAGAAAAATGTACATAGGGTATATATTTTAATATTTCATATTCTTGAATCTGTAAATAGTCTATTTTTTTTTAAAATCTATGAATAAAGTTTTGTTTTATTATTATTATTATTATTATTATTATTATTATTATTATTATTATTATTATTATTATTATTCCAGCGGTCTCAGTGGTTTTTCCATAACTGGTCCATTTCAAAAATTGAAAACACCGTGGACAGGTCTATTACACAGTGCATTTCATTTACCTGGAAATGAACTCATCGTAGATATGAGAGAGTGAAGGTAAAACAGGCATTCTACACGGTCGTTATGTGGTTCCTGATCCAACAACCATCCAGACAAAAGAAGATTCTACAAGAAATAAAGTAGGAAACAATCAAGCACTTCTTTACACTTCCAGAATAACAGCACGGGGACTGACCACCACACCACTGAGTTTAAAAAAGCTTTGGGAGAGATGGAATCTTGTGTCCATAAGCTATAATAACCACTGAATGACTGACCCAAAGGGGAACTGAATTTTGTTTGAGGGTCGAGAGAAAACAAAGCTACACGATCTAATCACGTGCGAGTCTTAAGTTCCCTAGGGACATAGTTTGAGTGTTTTGTTCGTCCTAGGAAGTCAGATTGTCCTGACACAAAGCACGTGATAAGAAAAGTTCTTGTCCAATCGGAAAACTCGACTGGGTTAGGAGGTATAAAAATGCTTTTCGGTGACAGAGATTAGTATTAAAGCTGTTTCTTCATAATGCCCTAAAGCTCTTAGAGACTAAAAGGCAGATAAGGAAATGGAGGAATAACACAAGGTTAAAACTGGTCTGGTGTAACAACTATGAGATACGTGTAAAAACTTACCATAAGATGTTGAGGTTTGATGCCAGATGAATCAAAACAAATGGCTAATCTCCCAGAGGTACAGTCACCGAACAAGCACTTCTAAAAAGGAAATTTAAAAGTGAAAATTATGTTTATTTTCTCAGTTAGCGACAAAGGCGACTCGGAAAAAATGAACCTGAAATCAGAGGTTGTTATTGGCTCCAGCGAAAAGTCAGCGAGTCTTTCTTTTACCCAACAAATTTCTCATAACCATTGGTTTCAATTTCCCCTGGGTATTACAGTCGGGTCGTCCCAAGAAAAATCGAAGACAATGATTATGCAATTTTTTTTTTTTTTTTTTTTTTTTTGGGGGGGGGGGGTAAAAAAGGTGTGTTATATATGGTCTATATGAAAATGGTGACTGAAAACTCTTTGGTGGGCCCCGACCGAGGTGTGGGGATAAGGAAATGCATTAACGCCCTAAATATTTTTAACTAGTAATAAAGAAACTCCCACTAACCTTAAAAAGAAAACTTGCTGCAACAAAAAAGGGAAACTAAAATTTAGTTCTGTGGCGAAATCAACTTATGCAGCTAAAACAGAACAGGCAACAAACTACTAGATTCCCCTAAACGCTATTGCACTTAATATTCTCTTCTTCAATTGGTCACATTTGTGTTCATTCAGACTTTATTGTAAACTTAGGTATGGCTTTCACCTCGTCCCCAGAGCCTTTCCCTAAGAAAATGGGAGGGAAGGGAAAATCACTGGGGACGAGGTTGGTAAGGCTTTCGAATGCTGGAGTGTTGTTAACTTACCAAGCTGAACGGTCATATCACTGGAAAGACCTTTTCTTATTGCAACAGGGATTGTTGATCCCGCGCCTGATGTTCCAGCTTTGTTGTCAAACCTCGTATCGTCCGTTTCCTTGCTCTGTTGAGTTACTGAAGCACATTCAAAGCAGCCAAGAAAAGCAGTGATACATAGAGGTGTAAAAGACGAGAGGGTGTGGGCAGGGGATGAGGTTGTCTGTTGAGTTGACTGGTTTCCGCTCAGAGACGTCAGTAGCTCAGTTGCTTCTGACTTAGTAAGACCAAGGAGATTTGCTACAGACTGAAAATAATACACAAGAAGTCAAACGGTTAATTAACTCAAGGCGGGTGCACACGAGAGGGTGTGGTGAGGGGGTGCAGTTGTCTGTTGAGTGGAGTGAGTTACTCTCAGAGAAACCCCAAGAATTAAACTTTAGAGAATTCACCCACATTTTTTATTTTCAGCGAGTTGGAATACACGCGACAAAGTTTGAAAAAACGCGAACTGTTTTTAATTATGACGTTTTTGCTGCCGTAGCGATAGTCGTTGCTAAAGCTCCCTAAAGAATCGATCTCTCCACTAGCTAAAGAGAGCCAAGGACACTATCAGAATAAAGAACACTTCTCTCGATCTGTTTGTTTCATAATTTAGATAAAAATCCTCTTTCAAGAAAACTTTTTACTACAACCTTTTCCTCTTTTACTTACAAGTTCTTTGCTCTTTCCTTTCCAAGGTTCCTCAGTGGATCCTGCTTCATCTCTATAAAGTTTCAAAACTGAGTCATGAGTTTGTATCAACTGCTTCTGAACAGAACAGAAATCCAGCAGCATCTTAGTGTCAGCTTCTTTGTCTTCACTATGATCATCTGATATGTGACCTAATAAAGAGTAAAATACAGCCCGATCAACGTAAAGTCCCAACAATCCGTTTCCTAAAACGTTGAAAAATGAAGCGATGTCCACACGCTCTTTCTCGCTTTAGGATGCTAGTCAGAACCGATACTTTAACCACAGAAAGAAAGTGCTCAATTGCTTTCATTTCAGGTCACACTTCATGATTCATCCTGAACGGACTCAAACATATGAACCGCTTTGTACAGATAAATAAACAGTACCACAGGAAAGTACTGTTCATTACCTTTAATTTGAATGGTCACACTTTGGGGTCTCCCTTTCGGGGATAGAATCTGGCATTCACTTGTACAGCACAAAATAAGGTCAAGAACTTTCCACACAAAGACAGACCTAATTTACTAAGTATACCTTTCTTCTGTGATGTCTCAATGACAGCCATTACAGCTTTGAGAAGGGTTGAGGAAGGAATTCCCACAGTAGACAACACACATTGCAGAGCCTAGATATGAATAACAAACATATAACATGTACGTCAAAGGAACTTTGTTAAAAGGTATCAACATAGCTTGCGTAGCAAGCGCTTCCGTTTGGTTTCGGAACAACGAAAGACCGCGGAGGAACGGGATTTCCGGTTTTGGCCGCGCGAAAAATGGAACGAGGGCCTCCCCGCCCTTTTACTCGCGCCATTTTTCGCGCCAGCGGTTTTCGACTCTCGTTTCTCGTTATTTGCTCCGAAACCGCACGGAAACGTTTACTACACAAGCTGATAGGGAGCTTAAGCAACCACGACGACGACCACAACGACGACTTCAAAAAACAATAGGTTTAAAGATCAAAACAACAGCTATACACGTCACGCTTTTTAGTACATTTCTTTGACGTCCACTGCATGATTACGACGTGAAACCTCCTAATTTGACGCTTTATGGAGGACGTGGACATACTACGACGAATTTCCCTTCATCTTTTTGAGCCTGAATAAAATCCTTAAGAATTGAACTCCAGGAAAAGTCGCCTGCATTTGACATATTGAGCGGATCCAAATAGACGCGATTAAGTTTGAAAGAACGCAAATTCATTTTTTTACCGTCGTTTTCACTGCCGTCGTCGTCGTCCGTGCTTAAGGTCCATAGTATCAGCAGAGCTTTCAAAGCCTTTTAATAGGGGTTCTTGAGTTGCAAAATCTTTTCTGGTTAGTCTGTCCCATGTACATATTATCAGACATACATTAAGCAGTATTTCATTTGATAGCCACTTTTTTAGATATGAAAATGAGATGTCTGTGATTTATTTTTACATGACTTCATTTAAGGGGTCTGGCTATAGCTTCGTAATAAAATCTATGAACAATTCTTAAAGAAATAGCAATAGACACTTCAGTTTTTTGCCATGGGAATTAGCATCCAATGTTTCAAACCCCCTTGACAATAACGACTTTATCTTCATGATCACGAATTGTAGCCTCCCACGCAGGCGTTTTTAACGCCCGCGTGGGAAGCTACATGAATAGCAAAGAGGAGGTAGTTTCTAAAACTCATTGCTATCTTAGGGGAAGTATTTGTACCTGCTGATGCAACTGAGGAGTCTGTATATCACTGAGGATCTCTAACAAAGTCTTTTCAACTTCTAGTTTATTGCTATCACCAGCCTGGGTCTCTAAACATTAGTTAACAAAAAAAAGAAGAAACATTATCGACCGGAAGGCACAGCGGGTATAAATCCTTTTCACTCACATAGCCAGCACAGCTTGAAAATTAAACGCAAAAAAAGAACGTTTAGACATGAAGAGGGACGTTCCACTCTCAAAACACTGGCTGAGGACACCAACATGCACACATCTTTTTTTTTTTTTTTTTTTTTTTTTTTTTTTTTGGGGGGACAGCAATGAATATGGCAGACATGATGTCACGTAAAAACGCTCTATAGTAAAGGGTGCGATCATGGATAGCTACAATCCAAGTCATCATTTGTTGAAACACTTTCAGAAAACACAATATAATCTATATGGGTTCATGAATACTTGTAGCCTGTGAGTAAGCTCTCCATTTGGGGAGTCGCGGGAAGTCACGCGAGAGGAGACGCGAGTGCTCCTCGCGGCTTCCCCGCTCACTCGCACGTTCTCTTGCAGCTCGCTTCGCTCACTATTAATGGAGCGCTTGTTAGCAGGATAGAATACATGTATCACTTCCCTCTCCCTCCCTCACTGTTGCTTTCACAGGTTTACTTGGGCATAAACGGCTGAAAAATCAACACTGTAGGGAAGAGGCGAAGAAGTCAGTAAGCTTTTCAACAATAAATTATCACGACAGGGAATGTAGACAGATTGCAAACAGCGTTTTTTGTATCGTTCATCACATAACAAGTGCGACAACAATGTATGTTAATTTGCCACCAACAACTTGACATGTGAGTGTTAACAGTGATTGTTACTACTAATGTTAAGTCTTCTTACCTTGGCCTAACTTTGCTTTATCCAAAACAGCAGAAAGATTTTTCAGCAAATGAAGGTCCCTTACTCTTTTACTGTGCTTGTCGCTAAAGACACAATAAAGAAAAAGAAAGTTGTCGGAACAGTTTCCACTTTTTTTTTACTGAAATCCACACTAAATCCCAGTACTGGCATTTGAATCAAACTTAATGAACCTGGGATTGATTTTTATACCGTCAATGCAACATGCATTAAAAGGAGATGAAATGTGTGAATAAATAAACGTGCAAGTCGAATAAAGCTTTAAACGTTTATTCATTTACCTCTATCAAGAACAATAATAATATATTCTCGTCACCACTACTATCCTAGACCAGTCCAGTTAACAAATTGACTTATTTTCCGTGGTCTGTACTCTTATTGACCACAGAGAGGATATCAAAACGTTCAAAACTCAAGTGGAATCAAAAGCCGCAGGTGAGTGGTTTCATTTTATTTGAACACTGATTTTGACATCATATCTATGGTTGATAAGAGTATAAGCCATGGAAAATTGTTGTCAATTTGATTTTTACAATAACACTCTGACAGTCTTTGACGTCCATTTCCCCTTACGTTTCTTGGAAAATCTCGCGTGCAAGAAAGAGTTAAACAAACTGCACCACAATCAAGTCATTGTCAGGGTCTGTACTCTCATCGACCATAGCTGTCGACCAATCAGTGTGTGAGAAATCACTTAGTTCTTGTAAAAGCCTATTTAAAACATCTGTAAGTACATGTACACTACTTACCTTAGAGCACAATGGAATGGAACTGTGAATGTCTTTAATGTTCCATCACCCTGGATCAGAGTACAGTTCAGTGTGTGCTGCGGTGAAGCCTGCCCCTGCCTGATCACATGACCTAATCCCATAATTCCATGCCCAGCATACAAGAGCCTGAAATCAAATCCACACACAACGGATAATTATGGACAGCTAAGATTATGACCTGTGTTATTATGCCAGAAATAAATAAGTTATAAATAATTTATATATCCATTTTTCTTATTGTTTTGTTACTAACCTACAGTCCTTCCCAACATTAAATGCCGCCACACGAGGCCCTTGTTCAGTTCTCCATATCTGAAAAAAAATCTTGATGATTAATCAGTAATGCTATTTTTACAAATTAATGGCCAATTTTGAAAATTATTGCAGGACCATAATATTTCAATACAATTCACATCTGATCAGTGTAAATTGGGATTAATATTTCAATCCCCCAGTACGTGGTTTCTGGCTTTCACGTCACTGCAGTTGGCTTATTGACAGAATTGCATTGTTATTACTGTGTAAAAATAGAGAAACTTCCCTTGGTTGAGAAATTTTCCAAATCAAGTGTTTTGGATTTCAGATCTGGTAGCTTATTTGAGAGACCAAGACACTACAATAAATTGTAAGGTCACATTTTGATCATTTAGAAATATTTCTTTGAAGTACTGCAAGCATAAAATTATTTTAACAACCCATTAAGATTTCTTAGTTTTTCTTTTCGCGCTATTTTTGTATGTCATTGTGCTAAGCAAATAATACAATACCTGGTAAATGATTTAGAGAGCTTAGTTTATACCTCTAAAATTCCCCTTTTTGTTGCATAAATAACAAGGAACAATGCTGTTCTCAGTGAAGACTTGGGTAACTCGCCCTCGTTGTGATGATTTTCCTCCTCCACCATCACCCAGCCACATTCAGCATCACGATAACCTACCAGCAATTTAAATTGGTAAAAAAGATAGAGAAAACATTTATATAAACAGTTTGTAAATACAAAGCAATAGAAGAAAACAGTTAAATGCCACATAACTAAAAGGTACATAAACACAACATGTAACGTATGATCCAGTAAATGTTAGTGGCACACACTGTAGGAGAGACAAGAGTGGCCAAGTTTCATGATAAAGGCTGAAGTACTGAGCCATAGATCTGACCATAATACAAAACAAATGAGATGCTGTGTGCGTGATAAATGCTATGTTCATGGCCTAATTGAAGAGCTTAATATGCTGACAGAGAATTGATGATGGTGACAATGGTGATGACGATGATGATGACAATAATAGCAATGATAAAGGTCACGACGGTTATTGGCAACCCAGTACAGATTCAGTAATTAAAAAATAAAATAATGCACCTTTCCATAGTCTAACCACTATTGCCCTCTTTGCGTCCAGTAACATCACGCGACCAAATTCATCAGTTGTCACCGCCAAACGGCCATTTGGTGATAGTGTGATACTGTTCCCATGACGAGGAGAATCAGGCAAACCAAATCTAGCAATGAAAGAACACATGACCTTAAATCAGAGTATGTCAAAGGATTTCAAAAAGCCTTCTCACAGTAAAATGAATTAAGGAGACAAACCTGGCTGACAGAGAAGTTCCCTTTTCCACCTTTGGTTTTAGTGGTTTTGTTGGTTCTTTTGCCTGACTTGTTGGCTTGCTTCCCCACCCAAGCCAGCCACTAAAAAATAAATCAAAAAAGTATCTGTTTAGACACAATGGGGAACTCACAATTATTGGGAAGGAAGACAATTATTGTGAGACTGTAAATCACAATAATGCAAAAGCAAAATATGCACCAACACTTGAACTGGATGTACTGTCATGGCTAATAATAATAACAATAATAATAATAATAATAATAATAATAACAATAATAATAATAACTTTATCTGTGAATCAAAGTATATGTACTTTAGCATACCTGTTTATTGGAGACACAGTAACACAGCAAAAATAATAACAGTAAATGTTAAATAAATGTCTAAGATATCAAAAATACCAAACACTGTTCTATTCAAATGCTACTTAATATGTCTATGAGCTCCAAAGAAAACAGTCAGGTCCACATTCATTACTAACTAAGTTTGAGAGATCTATTTGCCTTATTGATTTCTTAAAATGACTCAAAGTGCTTGCATTTCTCGTGTCCCAAGATAGGCGGCGCTACTGTGTCAGTCCATAAGCATGGGATGACAAATTCTGAGTACTTAAGGCTATATTGGGTTGTTTGTAGATTAAACAGATCTAATGCATTTTACGTAGGGCAAATGCTGGATTAAATCAAATTGTTTCTAATGCTAGTTATATATGCATCCTTATTCACTTGAAAAACTGCAAGGCTAACAAGTTTTCTAACACCACAATTGCATTCCGTTTCAATCTTCTTCACGTTTATCAAAATTATTCAAACAGTGGGAACCGCCACCAAGTTGAGTAACTTGGTGGCAGTTCCCACTGTTTGAATAATTTTGATAAATTTGGTGACACAGCTCCTTTAATAGGCTTGGAGAACAATAAGTTGCAAAGAAAGTGAATAAGTTGCAAAAACTAGGCAACATATCTTAATGGAAACTGTAATAAAGTATCAACCAATAGTTTGTGATCATAGTTATCTTGACTATATCTTTGTTTGCCATACTACATGACTATTAATGAAAATATTCTTACCTTGCTGCTGTGATTTTAGACAGCACTGCTGTTGTTAATTTGCTGGCCACTTCTAAAGCAACATCAGAAATCAAAGCAGGTGAACTTCCCTTTGTACGAAAAATAAAGAATTAACAACAGAAGTAAATGACTTTAGACAGCTATCACACTTCTCAGGCCAAGACAAATATTGCCACTTTGGGTATAGAGTATCCTTTCAGCATTAAATTTCTGTTTCAGGTTTGAGCATCATGATGATTTGACACAGTTCAAATGGCAACCACACAGGCACAAGTGTGCCAGTAATGACACAGGCTACAGCTCCAGCAGGTATTGTATTGTAAATCATCCTTACTTTGCCTTGATTAACAAACAGATGCTAACTAAGAATGCGGTCTTAATAGACTGGCACCAATTTAAGCTTGCCCCAAAACTACCATGATTATGATTACAAACATTATTAAAACCCATAAATGTCAACCTCATACAAATGGCAAAAAATAGCAAAGCATCAGCTCAAATTAATCATTAACATTACTGAAACATCCTACAAATATGTACCTCAACTGCAGTGTAAACTGCCACAAAAGGATCCATTCCTGTAGTCACATAATGCGACATGGCTGGCATGTTTCCACTAATATTTGCATTGTAACCACCCAAAAAAGAGGCTGTTTGAAGGCGATCAAAGATATTTGGAGGAACAACACCTGGAAGAAAGACCACAAGTATTTTCAGCTTATAGTGGAGCTCCTCTTCCAGCCTGTAAGCCATAGCTTTTAACCAGGGAGCTGGAGATGTGAGATGAGTGACAGCCCTTTTCCAGAGCTAGGAGCTTGTTTGCAGTCTACTCCTGTGTGCATCTTGATAAATCTACCAAGCATGAAATCTTTAATTTTTGGTTGTAAAGGTGACTGCACACTAACACAGGCAGCCCATGTTATGGTACACAGGCTAACCAAAGCACCTGTCATCGCCTTGTTTGTTTATGAACTTCTACTGAATAGTATGGTGAAAGTATTTCTACTCTACTAGCGGATGTATCTATAACTCACCACAACTAGCGATATCTGTTATGTAGTTTTGACCATCAAATCTCCACTTCTTATAAGCCAGAGGAGGGGGTCCAATAAGTTCTGATAATCCACTGGCTTGGGCTAATAAGAAACACATAAGAAAATCCGAAAATTAGTTAGAACATGACTAGACTGTTTGGAAGCACTTGAGTGGGCATGAATAATGCATGATAGCATATCTAAGCTGCAGGGTACCCCAATAATCTCTTTCAAGAAAATTAATCACTGATGTTAAGTCAGCTCTTCATAAGAAAGAGCTTACAGGTATCTCAGGAAACACCCAACCCCCTCCACCATTTTTATATGGCCAAAGTGATCAGTAGATACCCCATTTTGATAGCTGCCAATTGACCACAACAAGGATGTGCAATATCAGGATGCAGGCAATCACACTTTATTTATTTATTTACCAGCTTTTCTGGACACAGGCCTGCCCAGAGGGAATGTGCACAAGCGGGACTTGATCAGGTCCCATGCGAGGCGCCATCCCTACCCAATCCCACAGCCCATAAAGGTTGGCCACACCACCAGGGTGTACGACCCCTACTCTTTTCGAATTATAGTGATGTGGGTTATTTTATGCCCCACATGAACAAATCAGTGTAAGTGCTGTGAGATGGGACCTACGGTTTTTCATCCTTATCCTAGAAGACTAGAAAGCCTAACCATTTGCAGATGTCTTTACAAAGGCAGCACTTTCTTCTCAGTTATTTAAAGATCCTGAGTGTTGGTCCGGCTGGGGTTTGAACCTGCGACCTTCAGCTCAGCAGACCGGCGGTCTCCCAGCTGAGCTAACCAGGCAGCGAGAAGATGAACATTTCATGTTGGTTTCCCTGTCGTGCAGATGGACAAGCAAGCGGGCGGGTGGGTGGTTGTATGATCAAGTGACTACCAAAATTTCTTGGATGGCTAGGTAACCAAATTTTCTTAGCTATGGGGCTCCATTTGCATGTGCTTTGCACATGTGTGGAGCTCTGCTATTAAACTGTCAGCCCTGAAATGATTGTGCATGGTCTATACAGCTTTGACTGGGAAAGTTTGGGTGTTTTGGATAGGTGGTTGCTTATGGGAAGTGGTCACTTATGAGGGGTGGTCACACAAAGAAGTTCTACTGTATTCTCTCTACCATCTCCCTCCATGTTCTTTCCTCCCCAGCCATTCTGACACCCCCCACCCCACAAAAAAGTGTGGGATGATACGCCTTACTCCATGGCAAAAGCTTCTGTTTTTCTATTGTTTTTCAAATAGTTGGTCCTTAATGTCTCATTGTTACAAGGTAAAATTTCTTTTGAATAGACCAACTTCAATTTGTATTAAATCCAGATATTGGCAACGAGGCTTATGGGGAATACATAAATGTAAAACAAAAGAAATCCTCTTGAGGCTCAGAAATGAATAATACATTTCTTTTGTTTTATTCCCCTAAGCCTTGGAGTCAAGTATGTATAAAGGTGAAATTTATGCAAAAAAGGCTAATTATTAAACATAAACGACCCTCCAAGTGTGACCATTTTGGTCGCCATGGGACCCAAAATTTTAGAGCTGGTGACTTGATTTGTAAAAAAGTGTTCCTATTAAACCAAAAGAGTTGGCTGCCAACTGGCAACCAAGCAAAAACTTTAACTTGGAGGGTTGATAAATATCAAATAAAAGTAGTATGGCCACCATTAAAGTTGGAATCAGTGTTCCAGCCAGAAAATTCTGCTTGAGGGCCAAAGTGGCCCCTACAACCCATTTTTGGGGGCCAGATTTTTCAAGAAAGGGCCAATGTACCAGTATCTTTCTAATATGCAAAAGAGAAGAAACAGTTGGAAATTTAAGGAAATGAAAATGGCAGTTTACTTGAAGCTGACATGGAGCATCCCTTTTTTTACATCTTGGTATAAAGTAAACAGTACAATCAGAATGTATGCAATAAAAAAGGGAAGTTTTTTTTTCCATTTTATTTTCCACTTTACCGTCAAGATCTGCTTCCTTTCGCTTCTTCTGAACTGCTTCGCCTCCATCCACTTTTTCGTTACATACTGAGGAAAAACTTTCGATAGACCTCGAAGATGCGTTTGTCAGGTTTATTCTTTTTCAGGCAAGAACGTCATGCTAGCCTGAGCTCCTGCGATATATACATAAGCCAAGTTGAGGCTCAGTGGTCTCCAGACCACTCATTGTAAATCAGGTATACTCAAGAAGATTCATCGATTGATCTTCTAGTTGTGTACAAAGGTACAGAGTCGTTGTTCTTTAGATTAAAAATTCTGTTTATTGGAAAATTATTGTAGTTTAAGTAACAGAGACATTTTTAAGCCCACAGAATTAAAGAAGGAAAGGGCCATAATGGCCCTTGAACGCTTTTGGTGGTGGCCATCTCTTGATCTTTTGTGGGATTCATGCAATGGTGCACTCTGGCTGGAACACTGGGAATTATATGCACTAACACTGAAGGTGTCTACTAAGTTGCTTTTCAGGTTTAATAATAAGAGCTAATTACAGAGTATGTTATGTTACATCATAAGTGTTTACCCCTAGCCAGCTGATTTCGGCAAGCTCTCAGAGACTGGTACAAACTAAATCCATCAATAATAACCATAGCTTTGGGATACAAAATGGCTAGTTCTTCAACCTAGGGAATGTACATGTAAATAAATTATCAAGAATGTTATGTAAGAAACAACTACTGTACTAAATAAATGTAGTCAAACCTCCTGTGGGTGACCACCTAAAATGCGTAGAGTTAGAGGTCATTTACAGGAGGTGGTTGCTATGAGAGTTAAACTTCAGCGGATCCTTTTATGAGGACAAGTGCGGACACATCTACTTTTTATTAAAAGAGAATGCATTGCATGCCATTTCTAGGTTTCAACATAGGTAAATCCATATTGTTTCTAAAATTTCTTCTCATACTCTCAATTGCGTAGTACATTCAGCGAACACAGAAATCAGACCATTGCATTATGGTGGCAGGTTAAAACCAATGGAAAAT